GGGCACCATTTTTCATGACGCCGATCCCCCGGGGCCGGCTTCTCATCCTGAGTCGTGTTCTGACGGTCCCGAAGCCTGGTGGCGGCCCCCAGAGGCCGAAAACAGCGAGAAGCCTGTCGTCGTGGCTTTTGCCATGGCTCGAGGGGTCTGAGGTTGGGGGGGGCGCGCCTGCGAGGCCGCGGCGGCGGGGGCCGCGGCGGCGTTGGGAAGGGGGGGGGAGGGAGGGAGGGGGAGGGAGGGAGGGAGGGAGGGAGGGAGGAGGAGGGGAGGAGGGAGGAGGAGGAGGAGGAGGAGGAGGAGGAGGAGGAGGAGGAGGAGGAGGAGGAGGAGGAGGAGGATGAGCAAGAGGAGGATGATGAGGAGAAGCGGGAGGAGGAAGAGAGGGGAGGGAGGGAGGGAGGGAGGGAGGGAGGGATGGAGGGGGGGTGCGCCTGCGAGGCCGCGGCAGCGGGGCCCCGACCCCTCGAGCACTTCCCCGGGATCGGTGCTTCTCCCCGAGCCGTTTCTCTCGAGGACAGCGGGAAGCCTTCGGTCGTGACTCCTTCGTGGCGCGATGGAGGGGGGCCTGCCTGGAAGGAGACATCGCACACACGTCCCAGACCCCCTCGAGTAATGAAAAAATCACGACGGGAAGTTTTTCAAGATTTTCGGCCTCTGGGGGCCCTTACCGGCCCTCGGGACCGTCAAAAAACGACTCAGGATGAAAAACCGGTCCCGGCGAATAGGTCCGGACCTCTGGGGGTCGCGTCACGAAAAAATCATGACGTCGGGGGTCTGGGGCCGGCGATGGCCCCCGAGAGCAGCTCCGCAAGCTCCTGGGCGGGGGGGAGGGCTACCGGATCCCACGAGATCGACGATCCATGGGCGACATTGGGGATCGATGCGTTCCCCCCAGTCTTTCCCCCCCTACCGTTCGAGTAGGGGATTGACTACAGAATTGCTCTACCCCAAACCTGACATGTTCGCCCCCAACCGGCGAAACGAATGCGCAGAGTGCCCGTAGGTCTCAGGAGCACGATGCGCATGTTCCCTAGATCCGACGAACATGAATCCTGGTGTATGAGGCGACTCTGTAGTCGATCCCCCACTCGAACCGTTGCCCTCGAGACCGGGGGGGGGGGGCCTGCGAGGCCGCGGCGGCGGGGCGGCGGGGCCCGCCGCGGCGTTGGCAGGGTGGATGGAGGGCGGGAGGGAGGAGGAGGGAGGGAGGAGGGGGGGGAGGGAGGAGGAGGAGGAGGAGGAGGAGGAGGAGTCCAGGAGGAGGCAGGAGAGGAGGGGGGAGGGGGAGGGGGGGGGAGGGGGAGGGGGAGAGGGGGGGAGGGAGGGAGGGAGGGAGGGAGGAGGGGCGGAGGAGATAGCAGGAAGGGAGGGGGAGGGGGGGAGGTGGCCTGCGAGGCCGCGGCGGCGGGGCCCGCGGCGGCGTGGCCGCTCGGCGCGCGCGGGCCGGCCGGCGGCCTGCCAGGGGGCGCCGCCTCTCGGCGGCGAGCCCGGGGGGGGGAAGCGCGCAGGAGAGGAGGCCTTCTCGGAAGGCGGCGGGGCTTCTCCGGAGCCCCCCCCTGGCCTTCCGAGGAGTCTCCCCTGTGCCTCGGGGGGAGGCTCAGAGAGAACTCCTCTCAGGCAAAGGCCAGGGGGGCTGCCGAGCCTGCGGAGGAGGCCCGCCCCTTCTCGCCGGCTTCCCCACCCCACCCCGCTCGCCGCCGAGCCTCGGGCTGCGCCGCCTCGGGCTGCGCCGCCTCGGGCCGCGCCGCTTCGGGCCGCGCCGCCTCGGGCGCGTCGGGCGCGTCGGGCGCGTCGGGCGCGGCCGCCGCCGCCGCGGACCGCGAGCTGCGGCTGCTCGCAGCGATGTTCGCGAGCACCTCTGGGGAGCGCGCCGGAGGGAAACAAGCAGTGGACACTCCCTGCTTAGAGTTCGGAGCATGTTAGGCCAGAAAGTTGGACCTTGTTCCAAGCGCTGTCTGAAGCAAAGCTCCAAGAAAGCGCCCAGGGACCAGTCCAGATTCTTGATTCTCTTGAGCGAAACCTGGAGCCCACGAGAGCTGATCCTTTTTTTGGGCTAAGAAGGGGAAGACACAAGCACATAACAAAAATCACAGATTTCTGATGGGCGTCGTGGACACTCCCCCTCTCCCAAAAATTCAAAGTTGGCACGCGCGGGCGGCCGAAGTGCAACTCCTTCAACCCACCGCCAACATGGATCATTGAGGGGGGGCAGCATGGACAGAGGAGTGTGGCATGAGTGTCCTCTCATTTCTGACGGGGCCCGTGACAGAAGGGTGCCGACCGATGCCTCTCCCGGACTGCGCTGACCAGGATTTCGAGACGAGTCCAGCCGTGGCGGCGAGGGCCTCACGGGAGGCCCAGGGAGAGGGGAGAGCGAGGCCAAGGGCAGAGGGCAGAGGCATCTTTCCCTCTTCCCTCCCCTGGACCTCCGCGGCCTGCCTGTCCAGCTCCTCCTGCCTCCTCTGCTTGTGCAACTGCCCGCGGTTCGCCGCCGCCTTGGACGCCCACGCGCCCGGCTTCGCCGCCGCCTGCTTCGGGACGAAGCCCGGGTTGATGCTCTCCAGGTGCCGCCGCGCCTCGGCGGCCTCGGCCTCAGCGCGCTGCGCCCTCGCCCGCTCCTGCTCGAGCCTGTCGTGGTGCTTCTTCTCCTGCGCCTCCACGAACTCCCGCTTCTTCCTGTCGCGCTCCTCCTGCTCCTCCTTCTCCTCTGCAGGCCTCCCACGCAGCGGGTCCGAGCAGATGGAGTCGGGGGATCGCGCCGCACCGCACAGGGATCGGCGACGCACCGGCGATGCATCGGCGACGTCAGCGATGCATCGGCGACGCCGGCGTGGATGAGATCGGGCTCCACACCAAGCTGCATCGCCGATGCGTCGGCGATGCGGCACGATCCTCCGACCCCGTCCACTCTGGCCCGACTTGGGAGGCCTGGGTCCTTGGCATCCTTCCGTCTTCTCTCCTCCTCCAGGCGCTCCTCCCGCTGGCGCATCCTCTCGCGGTTGGCCTCGATCTCCTTGCGCATCATGTGCGCGCGCCTCTCGTTCTCGTCCATGGACGCCAGGAGTTGCTGCTCCTCCTCTTCCTCCCTCTTCCTCTGCTCCTCCTCTTCCTCCTTCCTCCTCTTCGCCCCGGCAGCCTCCTCGTCCTGTCGGGTCGGAAGATAATGGGGAGATAGCCAAGGGGGACCATCGAATTGTTTGAGGCGCGAGGAGAAGCGCCCCGCGGGGGGGTCCGAAACCAGCTACACGAAGCAGACTTCGTGAGCCCCCCTCTCCCACCCCCTCCTTTTTCCCGCCCGACCCCGGCCCTCCTCCGCCCTCGCCTCCCACGCCGCGCCCCACTCGCTGCCCTGCCACTGCCACCCGCCGGCGGCGTCCCACGCGCCCTGAGCCCGCCAGCCGCCGCCGGACCAGCCGCCGCCGCTCCCCCTCCAGCCCCCGCCCTCGCCGCTGCCCTCACCGCCCTCGCGGCGCGCGTCGCCGCCCTCGCCGCCGCGGGGCCCCGCCTCCGCGCCGCCCCTGCAGGCAGCGGCGCCGCCCCCGCCGGGCCCCGGCCCCTTCGCCTCGCCCCCGCGCCCGCCGCCGCGGGGCCCCTCCTCCTCCGCGCCGCGCGGGGGGCCCCCGCCGAGCCCGGGCCCGATCTTCGGCCGGGCGCCCTTGCCCCTGCCCTGGGCCCGCGTGCCGCCGCCCTCCGCCGCCCGCCCGTCTCCGGCGGGGTCCATCGGCCGAGGGCCGGCGCCCGCCAGGGGCCCCCGCGGCCCCGGCGAGAGGGGCGCGCCCAGCGCGAGGCGAGGCCCCCTCCGGGCGGGTCCGCCGCCCTCGACGAGGCGGGGGGGGGGGGCTCGAGCCACAGAAGGAGCAGGCATGGAGGAGGGCGAGAAAGAGGAGCTGCTGCGTATTCGACCATGGACGGCTTGTTGCCCATCGGCCTCACCCGCGTCTGCCTCGGGCGCTGGCAGAACTGGGTCTAGTGGGACCTGGTTTCATGATGTGTACTATGGGGGACGCCCCCCCCGCCCCGTTCCACTGACAGGAACTGCCGTCACCCGAAAGAACATCAGCTACGGCAAACCTGGTTTAGCGATTCTGGCCAATCTTGGGGGCTCCAGGGCCCTACGACTATTCGGGTCCCCAAGCCTGGGCTGCTATACCCGACTGCCGTCCTCCTTTGACACTCAAAGGATCACGTGTCCTGATACGGCGACATACCCAGAGATCCGACGTCGCAACCTACAGAATGAGACATGGAATCACGACCAGAGCCCTACTACTCCGCATCTTCCTGAGGCATTCCTCGAGCAGCTCGATCTGCGAGGGCTCTGGGGCCCGAGCCTGGATGCGAACGCCCAGCATGAAAAAACGCGACAGGGCAGCCTGTGGTTCCTGCCACCGCGTGACCTGCTCATCTCGTGCCTGTTCACAGCTGGGCGGTCCCCGCATGCTTGACCGACCCGGAGCCGCCAGGGGCCCGGAGAGCGCGCACGCCCGCGCTGCGGCCGCGCCGAGCACGGCACGGAATGGCCGTGAGGATGCCACGGGTGAGAGAGACTTGGGCGCCCATGCATGCATGACCCTTGGACGACCAGCAGCACCTAAGCAGCCCAAGCTCCTGGCGCCGTAGTGTGCTTTCACACCGGCCGTTCTCCCCGGGGATTCGGCCCCCCAGGCCCCTGGCGAAAAGGTCTGGCCTGAGCAACCTGATGCCGCAGAAGGCTCCGGGCGTGCGTTCCCGCGATGCTGCACCCTTTCGCGTCGTCGGATCTCATGGTCTGGGAAGCAAGTCGAGGGTGCAAGTACGCGTGCCCTTGTAGAGGGACTCCGCCCTTTAAGGGAAGTCCCACTGCATCCTGAACCCAGGCCCTCCCTCCGGAGGGGGAAGAAGGGAGAGAGGCAGGGAGGCGCCTCGCCCAACTATACGACTGATCCACGCGCGCCTTTTGGCGACCCTCCGCGTGGCGACGCACTCGCTGTGCCGCTGTGGTTCGCCAGCGCACGCCCGATCTACCCCGGCCTCGCCCAGCGCTTCGTGCGCTTGGGCATGGCGTTCATATCGGCGCTCTCGGCTGGCCGCTTCGCCTCGTTGGCCTCCGGCGGCGCGGCGCTGCCGCTGTCGGGGGCGAGGGCGCTCGGCGCGCCCGAGGGGGACACGCCCCAGCCGAACTTCCGCGCTGTCTCTTTCAGCTGCGCGGCGGGGTCCGGTCGGCCCGGCGGCGCAACGACGACGCCCAGGGCCGGAGTCTGCGCGGCCACCTGGGAGGGCAGCGTCACGAAGATGCCCTTGCCGGCCTCCGCAGCCTCGTCCTTCAGCCAGCGCTTGCGCCGGAACTTGCTGGGATCTGGCAGGTCCTCCACGTTCGCGGCCCACGCGAGGAACTCCTCCGCAATCTTCAGGCCGCGCTGCGCGTCGGATTCACTATAGAGCATCGCTGGCACGCCGTACCGGCCCGGTTTGGGGTAGCGCGCAGCGAGGTACGCGTGCTTCAGCCACTCCACGTCCTCGTCGGTCAGGGGGATCGTGCTCACCGCGCGCTTCTGCTCCTCGGTGTTCGTGTCCGCCGTCTTGATCCGCTTGACGAAGTCGATGAGGTCGTGCGCCGCCCCGCCGGCACACTCGTCTTCTGCCAAGCCACAGGTGCGCAACATGGTCGCCCTCAAGGCCATCTCCACGGTCTGCTGGCAGTGCCACACCGACCGGGCAGGTGTAATCGGCAGGCCCTCCATCTCCTTCAAGCACCGCTTGGCGACGACGAGCTCCACCTGCGCCTCCTGCGCGAAGCGCGGGGACAGCTGCTTGTCGACGATGCGCGGCGCGCCAGACCCGGCTGGCTCCACGTCGATCATCGCGCTTAGCTGCGGATCCTGCGCCGTCTGCGCCTGGGCCGCGTCGTCAGAGGGTCGTTCGACCCTCTCGCCGAGCAGCTCGTGGCCCTTGTCCTTGTTAACCTTCATCTCGTCTATGTCCGCCTTCGTCTGCATCATCTCCCGCTCGAACTCGAAGAACCATGAGCCCTCGTTCTGCCCGTCCTTCTGGTCCTCCTCCGGCTGGTCGCCAGAGGCGATGGCCAGGACCTCCTTGTCCTTCTCGCCGAAATTGCCATCGTCTCCGTCTAGCCACGAGTCGTCCCCGACGTTCTCCCCGGCCAGCCGCCTCTTGTACCACTGCTCGTGCGCACGCAGCAAGTGGAAGATCTTGTTGGCAATCGGCGTATCCCCAACCTTGTCAGGATGCCACGTCTTGAAGAGGCGCCGCATGACGGCCTTGTAGTCGTCTGCCTCCATCTTCCCCATCTCGTGCAGGTACTGCTTGACGTCGGCCAGCTGCCTGGCGTCCTTGTCCGCCTGATCCACGTTGCCGTCCTCGCCCCCAGGCTCAAGACCCGGCTCCTTCTCGCTGGACTCGCTCTTCGGGACGTGGACCAACTCCGTGCTGGCCGCGGCCTTCTCCTGCTTCTTGGCGGCGATCTTGTAGATCTGGAACTGCTTCCTGACCTCGAACGTGTCCGCCGAGACGCGCAGGTTGTAGGACTTGTTGAGCCCGTCCTCCTGCGGCTCCTGCCGCTCGTCGGGCCACTTGGCGACCTCCGCGATGATGAAGGTGCTCCCGAGCATCACCGTCACGACCTCCCCTTCGCCGAAGGTGGCGTCCATGGACCACACCACGTGGTCCTGCAGGTCCTCGGGGAGGGGGTCCCCCGGGCCGAGGTGCCGGGGCCCCAGCAAGGCGGTCTTGATCTCGCGCTTCTCCAGGAACGGGTTGATGCCCGCCGGCCCGTGGCGCACGCCGCAGCGCACCATGGCCTCCAGCAGGAAGGCGTCGATCTGGTAGAACAGCTCCACGGCACGCCTCAGAGACGAGACCAGCTCCGCGATGACGGTGTCCTCGTTCAGGTCGAGGGACACGTCGCCAATGTGAACAGCGCCCTCGCGCTCGTCGTAGTAGCACTGCTGGTCCTGCTCGCTGCCAGCAATCATGCTGCCGCCGCTGCGCACCTCGATGGGCCGATCTTCCAGCACCACTACCATAGGTAGGAGGAAAGGGCGGAGGAGGAGGAGGAGGAGGAGGAGGAGGAAGAGGAGGAAGAGGAGGAGGAGGAGGAGGAGGAGGACCTCCCCATCTTCCTCCCTCCCCCGTCCTACCTATGGTAGCGGTGGTGGAACATGGTCCCATCGGACCTTGCCGTCGTCCTTGTAGAACAGCGCGCTCCGTAGCTGCCCCGTGGCGCGGAGCCGGATCGAGCGCAGGTCGCGGCTCACGTCCGCCAGCGAGCGCGTCATCGGCTTGCCGGACGCCTCGCAGTTGTGCAGAATCACGGCGTGGACGCCGACGGCAAACTCGGAGGACTGGACCAGCTGCTCGACGCTGTCCTTGAACGTGAGGCCCACCGAGCCCACCTTCAGGTCGTCGTCCACCCTGCGCTCCTCCACCAGCACCGTCAGCTGCCGGAGCCCCGCGTGCTTGACCAGCGAGGCCGCCAGCTCCCGCTGGTCCTGCCCGAGCAGGGCGCAGAAGCTGAGGCTGCCGGAGCCCTCGCACCGCTTCAGCCAGCGCGGCTCGTCCGCCCAGACGAGCTCCGACGCCTTCCGGATGTCGCCCGTGTTCGTGAAGAGGTGCAGGCTGCCGAGCTGGAGCTGCTCGCCGTCGCCCGCCCTGCCGCTGCCCTCCGTCAGGTCCTCGTGGATGCCGCGGACGCAGGCCTCGAGGCAGGCGACGACCCACTCCCAGTTGGCGCGCCCCAGCTCCGCAGCCTTCTTGGCCACCCGCTCGCTGGCGGCCGCGTAGTCTGCGGCCCGAGGCCTGTCCGAGGCGCCCAAAGCCCGGAAGACCGCCGCCTCCTTCGACGTCTCCGCGTGCACCTGCCGCAGGTAGAGCCGCAGGTTGGCCTCCTTTGGCCGCTCGCATACGGGGGGGTGTGAGGGAGGGGGGGGGAGAAACTTCTTGGAAGGAGGCCGGTTCTCAGAAGGCGCAGGCCCTACATCTGCAGACACGGCCCGCGCCTTCTAAGAAGCAGCCTTCTTCCAAGAATCCTTCCCCCTCCCGCTACCCCCCTCTGCGCGTGGCTGAAGGGGGGGTATAGTCAAAATCCACAGTAAGGACGCAAAGGAAGGATGCAAGACCCTTGGAGGTTCTACTCGGAGCTCCTTGGACGTCAGGTCTTGCTCGGCCTGGGCCGAGGAAGCCGGGAGGCCAGGGCGGCACTGGTGAGGCAGCGCACCCTCCCTGTGGACTTTGGCCGTCGGCCGAGGGCTAGCTGCGCGTCGCCCGCTCCTTGCCCTTCAGCATCGGCAGGTGGAAGAAGGCGTGCCCCGGCAGCGTCAGGGTGGTGACGTCGGCAGGCCGGTCCGCCACGTCCTCCAGGGTGACGGCGCAGCAGGGGAGCGCGCGCAGGCGGTCCAGCGCCGCGGCGACCTCGGGGCTGTTGACGGCGTCCTCCTCGGAGGAAGGCGGCCCAGAAGGGCGAGTGTTTTGCGGCTCCCGGGGCACCCCGCCCCGCGCCCTCGACGGGCGACGGCGGCATCCTGCGGCCGCGGGGCCCAGGGAGTGCGGGTGCCCCCCCCCCCCCCCGGGGTGCCACGCCTCGCGCCCACTGGGGCATCATAATAGCCAACTCTCGGAGGTCCGCGCGGCTCTCTCGGATCGGCGCTGGGCGCGCTCTGCGCGCCAGGGAGGGGCCCTGCGCCGATACACAGAGGGCCCGCGCAGAGCTCCCAAGGCTGGTCATCCCGCAGCTTGGTCCTCCTTCGGCTCCTGGTTGAGGCAGTCTGCGACGTAGCTCCAGCAGCCCCTCAGGTCCTCGTGCAGCGCGCTCTCGGACTTCACGAAGGCCTCCACGGCGCCCTCCTCTGGCCGCAGGAGCCTCACGATCGTGCCCAGGTGGTCGATGACCACGCCCGCGGTGGCCTGCTCCAGGGCGGTCAGGCCCCCGAACACCGCCTGAATGCCCTTCGGATGCCTCTCCAGGAGGACCTGCAAGTTTTCTCACCGCAAACAGGCCACCAACAGCTCGCGTCTGTGAATCGTTCGCCAACGGTTCGCCGGACAGACAAACTGAGTGACTGGAGGCTGCCGCCGAAACGAATGTGACCATTGATATCGAAGGCCCAAGGGGAAAGCGAAGCGAAGCGAACGCCCGAGTCGTGCGTGCAGCTCTGGGGAGCTCGCCCGTGCCCAAATAGGGCATGGCGTGGCGGCCGTAGCCTTGACAAGGAAGATCTTGCGTTCAAGCTTGTGAACAGCACGGTAGGAGCTCGACCACAGGAAGCCTTCCACAAGAAACCCAACTCTTGGACCCCAGGACGTCCATCAATTGCTTGGTGTGAGGGAGTCACGCTTCCCATAGCAGACACCATCGAAGCCCAAGAAACCCAGGGAACCCTGGAGGCAAGCAGGGTGCATCTTGGCATGGGTCTCCACTGCATGCCCGCTCGGACGGTGACCACCACTCTGTGCACCGAGCGGCCCGGAAGAGGCCCAAGAAGGAGGGGCGAGGCGAGGCGAGGAGGGACGTGCAGCTCTGGGGAGCTCGCCCGTGCCCAAATAAGGCATGGCGTGGCGGCCGTAGCCTCGACAAGGAAGATCTTCTGCTTGAGCTCGTGAAGAGCATGCCCGCTCAGATGGGCGATTCCGAAAACCCTGAAGCCAAACATGTGTTCATCTCTTGGGGGAGATTTTTTTACTTCCGCCGCCTTCCGCCGAGCTTCCGCCGAGCTTCCGCTGGCTTCAGCCGGCGGAGGCGGCCTCGTCTTACTTCCGCCCACCTTCCGCCGCCCTTCCGCCGCCTTCCGCCGAGGAAGAGATGGCCACCCCTTCAACCCTCCAAGGCAAGGCCCCTGTTGGAACGCCTCAGACGGTGACCACCACCCAGAAGAGGCCCGAGGAGGAGGGGCAAAGGCGAGGCGCGGCGAGGGCAGGGCGTGGCGGCCGCAGCCCCGACAAGGAAGAGCTCCTGCCCGAGCTCGTGAGGAGCCTGCCCGCTCCGAGGCTGCCCACCACCCGAGCGGCACCGGGCGGCCCAGGAGAGGGGCCCGAGGCGGAGGGGCCAAGGCGAGGCCAGGCGAGGGGACCCCCAGGGTTCGCCCCGGCGGGCGGCCGCGCGAGGGGGGGCCGAGAGGCGGCGCCGGGGCGCCGCCCAGTGAGTCACAGGGGGTCGATCTTCGCTGCTCTGGTGTGCAGTCGGGGCGTGGACCTGAGGAGCCCTAAATAAATAATGAACGAAGCCCCTTTTTTTCCAGAAGTTAAAACTCCGACTTCCCATCGAAGACAGAAGGAAGACCGGAGGCAGGCTGCGAAACAATTCAGGAACACGGCGCCCCTCCCCAACGAAAAGGGCTCCTCATTCAGTGCCCCGACTGTACCCATCGGTCGGAAGAAGCAGGTGGAACCATGAAGTAGGAAGGCGGATCACGTCGATTGGGTTGAGGCCCACCCAAAGCATGGCAAACAACAGCCAAACCGCATCGATTCTTGAAGTAGGAAAATCGCTTGAGGTGGATGGGGCTCTGGGAGCCCATAAATACCTACCTCCTTCAACGACCGGTGTGTAAGGTCAACTCGTATCATATTGACGCACGAGAGGGATGCAAGGACCTTGGAAGGTCATGTTCGACACTCTGCGAGCGGGGCGCGGCCCACGAGTGGCCAAGGATGGTCCAAGCAGGCAAGGATGCAAGAGCACCCTGGGGAAAATTGCCCATTCTTACAATGCGGGTTGACTGTATACGAAACCATCTTCCAATTCCTCCACATCTCCTCCAGCACTGAGGAACTTTCCTCCACATGCTGTAGGCATGAACTCTGTCATATCGTCGATCCATCTTTTTGGGAGTCGGTGTGGTAGCGAGGAAAGAAGCAACGCCAGGGTGCAGGTGACAAGATAAGTAGATTGACATCCGCGATGTTTCACATCCGGGCACCCAGACCTCCCAACCCCTTCCTCGGGGCCAGTCTTTCGCCCCGGATCCCTGTTCGATGGCCCCGGAGCCAAGTGACGGCCCCCAAAAGGCCGAAATCGACGAAACATGCCCGGGTGAAACAGATCACATCGTTGGAGATCAGGGCAACTCGAAGGCCCAGGATGACCTGCAGGTGGAAGGAGTCCTTCTCGCCCACGGCGCTGCGGTGGTCCTCCATGGCGGCCACGGACCACGTCACCTGCGTCAGGGCTCAGCCAGAACGGTGCTTGAGCGATCTCGTGGACCGTCTTCGTTTCGATGTCGTTTTGCAGCAAAGGCTGGACGAAGACAAAGCGAGGGGACACGGAAACACAACGAAACTGAGAAGCCCTGCTTGGGTCAAGCCCTGACCTGCGTCGCCGTCTTGAAGGCGCAGCCCTGGAATGCCACCAGCTCGGCGTCCGCGAACACGGCCGAGGTCTTCTGCCTCTTGGAGTTGCGCTCGACCACCTCCTTCTGTATCGTCGTGTCGGAGACGTGCCTCGGGCGCTACTCCCCATGGGGGGGGGCAGCAGACGGGGGAGTGCAGAAAAGGTCCACCTGTCGTGGAAGCTCGGGGCCCGGGGACCCTTTTCTTGACGCACTCCCTGCCAAAGCTCGGTACCCCCCTTGGATGCCCCCACCCCTCGAGGAGCAACCAATTACATAGGCACAAACTTTGAGGATCGCTGGGGGGGCAGCGCTGTTTCCAGAGCCAGATCCCCGTACGCTCGGCGGGCGCGCTTGATCGGTCAGCAGCAATGCTTGCAGCCGCTCTTCGCGAGAAGCTCCGATTTCAGGTTTACTCTTGCCGACGATTGGGCTGCTCATGCTTGCTCTTGCCCTACAAATGCAGTGTCCTATCCCCCGTCGCCCCAGAAACACAGATCGCGTTCGCTGCCCCTCAGCGAGCTTCAACGCAAACTTTCGGAGACCCGCGCGGATTTCCCGGATCGGCGCTAGACCTCCCTCCCTTGCGCACAGAGCGCGCCAGGGGCGGTGCGGGAGGCGCCGGCCCAGCGCCGATGCAAGAAATCCGCGCGGACCTTCGAAAGTGTATGCTTGTACCAGTCTGTGTTCCTCGAGTTGCTGGGCATCGTTCAACCGATTCCTGTCCCCACTGGCCTGGCCTTGATCGGACTGGCCGATTTAGCCCCTAGATGAGCATATATGCTGTTCCCTTCGGGCGTCGCAGGGTATATCCCCAACTGGGGCGGATGGGATGGTGGAGCTGAGATACCACGGCCCGTTGGGAATGGGATCGGTTAGACGATACTGGATCACCGAACGCCCGGGTGCCTCCGCGCCATCAGTATTCGGTAGTAGGAGGCCCGCAGCAGGTTCCGCATGTCCTCCTCCCTCGCCTTCGTCTGCTCCGAGATCATGGTGGAGCCCTCTGGCCGCGGCGGGGGCCAGACCTCCTCGCAGGAGCGGGCCCACTCCTCCACGAGCTCGAAGGACCTGGGCCGCAGCTCCTCCACGCCCTCGGGGCCCTGGCAGTGGTCCGCCATCCCGTGCATGTCCTTCGCGCACAGCAGCACCTGCCGAGGCCAGCAGGTGCCGATGCCGCTGCTCCACGGGCCTCCCCCGGGGCGCGTTCTGACCGGGGTCCGAGAAGCATCCGGCCGTGCCGGCGAGGGCACCCCACGACACCAAAAGAAGTCCCCAACGGGAGGAGCAGAACATCGCATCCACACAGACTCTGGGAGCTCCGCGCCGGCGGCGGCACCCCGCGCGCCCAGGGCGGCGCCGGAGGCGCTGCCAGGGGGGCCCAGAGCCGATGCGAGAAACCCGCGCGGGCCTCCGGAAATTCATGTGTATGTTTGTGTCGCGGCGTGAGGGCCAAGACGAAGGAAGGATAGCGGTACGGGTACCTTTTCCTCGTCCTCCTCGTCCTCCTCGTCCTCGTCCTCCTCCTCCCTCCTCCTCCTCCTCCTCCTTTTCCTCCTCCACCCTCCCCCGTTTGAGCACCAGGGATGGCGACAGGCCAGGCTGCATCCCGAGCACGTGCAGCAGCTCCATGTGGAGGCTGCTCTCCTGCATCCAGGCCACCGGCAAGTACGAGGTCAGCACGTCCGCGAAGGCCCAGGCGACGCCGCTGGCGGGGGACACGAAGTGGCCCGCCTTCTGCGGCAACCCATAAGATTAATCAAAAAAGGACCTCTGACCCTTTCGGAGGGAACCTAAGTTAGGAGAGCCAGAAGCATTAGGGATAGACCAAACCAAACCGCCCATAATCATTTTCCCAGTGCAAGGACCAGACCCTCAGTGAGGCCACGTCTTCACTCTGCTAGTAGGGTTAGAGGTTCTTTTATCCCCGATGATCATGGAAGCCTCCCATAACATCTTGCCGGCTGGTGCGAATCGACGCTGGTCGACGCCACTCGGCGCCACATCGGCGCTAAATCGACGCTAATCGACGCCGGTCGATGCGAATTGACGCTATCTCATCAATTACCAAGGGCCAAGGGCTCATCAACGCTAGGGCACTCTAAAGACTCCCATTGACTAGCTACCGAACCCGCCGTGGCCATCACGCACCAGTCCTCGGGAAGAAGACAAATAAAGCTTTGGAGCTGCGCGCGGAATTCCCGAATCTGCGCCAAGCCCCCCCCGGCGGCGCCTCCCGCGCCGCCCCCAGCGCGCTCCGCACGCCAGGGAGGGGGGCCCAGCGCCGATCCGGGAAATTCGCGCGGAGCTCCCTAGTAGGAATAGTAGCAGTAGTAGTAGTAGTAGTAGTAGTAGTAGTAGTAGTAGTAGTAGTAGTAGTAGTAGTAGTAGTAGTAGTCGTAGTAGTAGTAGTAGTAAAGTAGTAGTAGTAGTAGTAGTAGTAGTAGTAGTAGTAGTAGTAGTAGTAGTAGTAGTAGTAGTAGTAGTAGTAGTAGTAGTAGTAGTAGTAGTAGTAGTAGTAGTAGTAGTAGTAGTCAATAGTAGTAGTAGTAGTAGTAGTAAGTAGTAGTAGTAGTAGTAGTAGTAGTAGTAGTGGTGGTGGTGGTGGTGGTAGTAGTAGTAGTAGTAGTAGTAGCAGTAGTAGTAGTAGTAGTAGTAGTAGTAGTAGTAGTAGTAGTAGTAGTAGTAGTAGTAGTAGTAGTAGTAGTAGCAGTAGTAGTAGTAGTAGTAGTAGTAGTAGTAGTAGTAGTAGTAGTAGTAGTAGTAGTAGTAGTAGTAGTAGTAGTAGTAGTAGTAGTAGTAGTAGTAGTAGTAGTAGTAGTAGTAGTAGTAGTAGTAGTAGTAGTAGTAGTAGTAGTAGTAGTAGTAGTAGTAGTAGTAGTAGTAGTAGTAGTAGTAGTAGTCGTGGTGGTGGTAGTAGTAGTAGTAGTAGTAGTAGTAGTAGTGGTGGTGGTGGTGGTGGTAGTAGTAGTAGTAGTAGTAGTAGTAGTAGTAGTAGTAGTAGAAGTAGTAGTAGTAGTAGTAGTAGTAGTAGTAGTAGTCCCAAAGTTGATGTTTGTGTCGTTTTTTGTTCCTCTCAGTCCTCGGACGGGACGAACTCGCACGCGGCCGCAGCCCGCCTGACGCTCTCCGACTGGTCGACGTAGACGTAGGAGTGCAGCTCCTGCAGGAAGGGCAGCGAGGCCGACCCGTCCTTGTCGCTGCCGCATATGCTCGGCAGCTCCCGGATGACCATGCTCACCATGAACTCCTCGCCGCTGCAGAGCTGCACCCCGCAGTACTCGTAGATCGGCTTGACCTGCTGCGTGGGCCACGCGAGCATGCACATGCCTGGCAGCGTCAACTGGCTCAGCGACGCCGCGTGGGGGTCGCTCGGATCGATGCAGCAGTACTGGGTCTTGGGGTCCTTCAAGGAGATGAACGTCTTCTCGACCGAGGCTGTCTTGAAGAGCGCCAGGTTCTTCACTCCCTCCAGCTTGGCCCCGCCCTTGACGCTGAGGACGGAGAAGTACGCGAGGAGGTCGTGGCGCTGCAGCGCGGACAGGCTGTCGATCCGGCCGTGATCCACCAAGGCTTTGAGCATGTCGTCGTTGTCGCAGATCACCAGGGTGCGCACGAGCCTCGATATGCGGTCGTCAGACATCACGTCGTGCTGCACCGTCTCGATGCCGCACTCCTGGAGGATTCCCGAGAGACTCTCCACGACCGCGTCGTCGAAACTTACCAGCGTGACTGCAACGCTGCGGTGGGCCACGTTGAGCGGGATGCAGTTCTCCCCGTTCTCGCCACCCCCGTCGCAGGAGCAGATCGGCAGGACTCGCCAGTCGTTGATGAGCTTGCACCAAGAGGTGTCCCTGCGCACCTTGACCGTCTGCGTGCTGGCGGCCTCCGCCGCCATCCTGGCGTGAAACCGGCTCGCGAAAGGGTTCTCGCCCGGCCCCTGCAGCTTCTCCGCGTAGGTGTCGGCGACGAGGGACCACAGGAGGCGCAGGGGCTCGTTCTCGGGGTGGCAGAACCCGAGCACGGGCCGCACGGACGCCTCCACCTCCTCCTTGTGGGGCACCAGGTCGCCGAGGGTGAAGGCCCGGACGCCGGGCAGCTGGACGTCCACCGCGCCCTTGGTGCCCAGGATGCTGATGTCGACGGCGGTGGTGGCAGCCACGTGGGCGTCGCGGTCCATGAAGAGGCTTCCTCGGAGGAGCAAGACTCAAGGGGCCCTGGGACACACAAATAAATACACACAAATAAAAAGATCCCCCAGATTGTCTCCATACTTTCTGGGTTTTTGTCTTCTCCCCCACTTCCCATATTTCCTGGGGAGCGACGATTAATTGTGTCTGTTTTTATTTTAACCTCCTGGAAGACCAGCAACAGCAAAGGCTGTCGGAGATCCGTGCGGATTTCCCGGGCCGGCGCTGGACGCCCTCAGCGCCGACCCGAGGAATCCGCGCGGAGCTCCGCCAGGTCGTGCACGCCGCTCTGCCCCACTCGAGTCCTTTGGTGGGCAGGATGTCGCGCCAGGTGGAGAACTTCACTCCGTTGCCGAACGTCGTTACCTCACCGTCGTTGGTCAGCAGCAGGGGCACGCCCTCGAGCTCCGCGGGGGCAAACGTCTGGGTGTTGGCGGGCTGGCTCTTGCAGAACTCCGCCCAGAGGCTCTTCACCGCGAAGCCCAAGAGCTCCACGACCTCTGATGGGTAAAGATAGGGGGGACTTGAAGTACCATGTGGAACATGTTGGAGCAGGAACATACCATAGACGGGTCTACCAGATTCCCAACCTTGTACTGCGTCGAACGCCACGGCCGCGTTAGCTACAGAAGTATCCCCCCGCGAGTGTGTCTCATATACACAACGCCACACAATGTGTCTATAGACGCTTGTGGCTAGAACGTGAGAACGGTATTTGGCATAGGCCCCCAGATTCTGCACTCTCTGACAGCAGGTAGACTTTGCCCTCCAGAGGGGGACCAGCTCAGGGGGGGGGAAGCATCGACCCGGCACTGGCGATACACCGCCCAGACATCGGCGATAGGCCCCCGATATAGCGAATCTCCGCGCGCTCCTCGGGGTGGGTGACTTCCGGGCTCCCGCCAACGAGCGAGGGGCGACTCTCGGGGCCGATGCGCCCCCCCTCGGAGCCTGTCCCCCCTTGTCGTTGCCCCCTGGGGACCTCTCCTCCTCGTCCTCACCGTCCTCACCGTCCTCTCCTCATCCTCCTTCTCCTCCTCCTCCTCCTACTCCTCCTCCTCCTCCTCCTCCTCCTCCTCCTCCTCCTCCTCCTCCTCCTCCTCCTCCCTGGGGACCCTGCTCCTCGTGGACAGGCTCGACAGGCCCGTGGCGTCCAGCTTCACGTCGGGCGCCACCGGCGCGCCGCCCCCCTCCCCTGCAGCGGCGGGCGCACCAGGGGGGGGGCGGGGGGGCGGCGGTCGAGCGGGGAGGGCGGCTCTCTGAGCGATGGGTCGGACACCACCTATAGAGACCTTCCAGCAGGACGTGGCCGACGCAGAGTCCAGGGCGCGACAGCGACGAGGCTAGACTGGAGTTCGCTGAACTCTCCCGGGGGCCATTGCCACGCTGAAAGCATCGTCTCATTGTATCGAGCTTTCAGGGCTCCCCTGTCTGGCGGTCACGGGCGGCGGGAGCGAGGATGGCGGCTCTCTGAGAAGGCCGCGGGGCGCCTCTCAGAGGGACGGGGTGCTCTCGCCATCGCTCGGCCGTCCACTCCCCGTGCGTGTTGTGACTTCGCGCGCGGATTTGTCGCACGATGAGCCGAGATGCTCCTCGATGGTCCTCGCCGAGAAGCAAGGGGCACACGTCCGAGCGATGCCAAGTGCTCGGACTGAGCGGGGCAGGCCGGAGCCCCGCGGGGCAGGCCTGCCCTGGTCTTGGTGTCAGCGCCGGCCGACGCGCAGGGCCTGCGGGCCAGCGCAGCGGGGTGGCGGGGGGGCACCCGAAGGGACGCCCCGGAAAGGCTTCCGGAGAGGCTTCGGGGAAGGCGGGGAGGTGGGGCAACAGGGAGACATGCCGACACCGCTGCCCTGCGACCACTCTCTCTCGCGGAACGTGCCTCTGAGCCAGAAGGTCGAAGCGAATCCGGCCGCGGTGACGAACGGAGGGAAGCGGCATCAGAATCTCTCCCCCTTCTGAAGGATCGGCTGCACGCAAGAGGGAGCCTGGGCAAGAGTGGCCTCTGGTGCGCGACTTTCGGGGGCCGCGGGGAGGCCAAACCTGGAGCGCGCAGGCCGCTGCTGTCGCATCGCATCCAGCCATCTGGTGGCCCCGTGAAGCCCGCACCCGAGGTCTCTCCGGCGAAGGGCCGCTCCTACATGCGTGCAGTCGAAGGGAGGGCTCCTCTCCTGTGCGCTGTCAGAGGGCCGCCCCCCTCGCCGCCACCCCTCCAGTAGATGGACAATATATTCAAATCCTTACACATTTGAGAGAGACTCTAAATCACCTCCGCGCCCCCGACATCAATGTTGATCTCAGTAAAGGCGGTGCTTTGGGGTTCGAGTATTTCTGCCCACTCACGCCCCCCCCGTCGCCACGCCATCAATATCAATTTCGGGGGGTCTGGAGGGCGCATCTTGGGCCACAGGGTTCGAATCTAAAGGTCCATGTAGGGCCCCCTGGCGCGCCGCCCGCCTGTCTCCGCCTTGGGCGGCGGGTGGAGCTGGGCCCACGCGCCCGCGAGGAACTTGCACAGCTCAGGGCCGGCGAGGCGCTCGCGCGGCCTGCCGCGCACCTCCTCGTACTCGGCCACGATCTCCGCGGGGAGCTTCACGAGCCGCATGCCGTCGTCCACCAGGTTGTCCTCGCGGGAGCCACGTGGCACAGCAGGAGAACAAAGGCTACAAACAAAGGCTCTTGGCGCTCCGCGCGGATCTCTTGCCAGCGCGGATGCAAGAGATGCGCGCGGAGCGCCACAATTTTGTGTTTATGTTGTTTTTTGTTCTTCGATGGCAGGAGCAGCCAGCGTCGAATCGCAAAATCGGACGGGATCGGAACGCGGGTCCAGTCGGGGCGCATCGGCATATGGAGTCGGAAGCGAATCGCATCGGCTGCGCCAGGATGCGCAACTCCGAGATTTGCGGACCACGGGCCTCATCGGATCGCTGGAAAAGCGAATCGAGGTCGGACCGAGCCCAGCGAACTCGACATCGAACCGGATCGATCGGATCGGACTGGGCCCTGAAAAGTACCGATGCCGGGGGGCGCAGGGGTCCCGACCGCTCCCCCGGGGGTATACATCGGGGATGGACAGACCCCCCTTTAGTAAAACGTGGTTTAGTGAAAACGACCTGAGGCCCAAACCTGGCAGGCGCAAGCCTGGAAAATAACGGCCGCGGCGTCCTCTCGAGAACCGAAAACGGACAATTCACTAATCGACGTGTCACTGTTGGGGGTTCTGTCCACCCCCGAATACAGCCCCAGATCTGTGCTCGATGGCCCACGGGCCCGATGACGCTCCACAGACGCCAACCGTGAGGGCGCACGCCGCACTTGAGCACCTCAGATGGTCAGAGGTCCGGGCCGAGCCCCGGGCCTCTCACACGGGGTGCGGGCCCCCACGATATACACCATCACCACCACCTCCGTTCCCGCTCCCTCGTCCGCCCTCGTCTTCTCCTCCTCCTTCCTGGGAGAGGAAGGGGATGAGGGAGGTGGTGGTGGTGTACACCCTGCGAAATGCTTAAGAAATCATGGGTTAAGAAATTCATAATCTCAGAACTTGAATAAAAAACCCAACATTTCTGTCAAAATCGTGGGATTTACATTGAAAGCTTAAGAATAATCGAGACTCTGGACGAAAACTTAGGTTTTTTTAAACATCGCCTACAGTGTATACCTTTGGGCCCCGTAATTACGGGGCGCGCTCGGACCAGGATATCCCGAGGCGCCTCCCCGGCCGTGGCGCCGAAGGCCCTCCACGACGGGCAGCCGCACATCGGCACCTCGGCCTTTGCCCCGCAGGAGGACGGAGGGGGAGGAGGGGGAGGAGGAGGAGGAGGAGGAGGAGGAGGAGGAGGAGGAGGAGGAGGAGGACGGAGGAGGACGGAGGGGGAGGAGGAGGAGTCCCCTCCCCCGCGTCCTGCAGCGCCTCGGGGAGCTCGTCGTTCACAAAGGTGGGCGAGGGGCCGGAGACCCAGGTCAGCTTGTCGCCCCGCGCCACGGGGAAGACGGCCTCGGGGAGCGCCAGCTTGAAGACGGCGGCGGCGAGGAGGCTCTGGAGCCGATCGCCGCGCAGGGGGAAGAGGCCGAAGTAGCGGTCGATGCCCATGCCCCGGTACAGCACCTGGGCCGAGCAGTGCAGGATGAGGTCCTTCATGCTCATGGCCACCGGGCCCCGTATCAGCATCCGGTTCCACGACTTGTCCAGGCTGGGCCTCGGCTCCTTCTCCTCCAGGGGGGCAGCAAGACACCCACGCTTCTCCTCCTCCTCCTCCTCCTCCTCCTCCTCCTCCTCCTCCTTCTCCTCGAGGCGGATCGAGGCGGATCGAGCCGTGGCGACGAGAGAAGCCGTGGCGGCATCGGTCCCTCTCTCTCTCTCTCTCCTGCCTCCTCTTGAGCTCTCCTCGGGCAGCGGCAAGGTCTTCCGCGACGACAGGAGGGCAAAGTTGCCGTGCACCCAGGCGGCGCTGTTGGTCTGGAAAGGCGTGGGGAGCCCGACGCAGATCCTACAAGGGGGTCGGGCGATCGTGTCACCCTCACTCCCGGCAGATCTGGGCACCAAAGCACGGGGCCAATCAGAAGTACAACCCCATCAGGACACATATCAGGACTCCTTCCCCATCTCCGCTGCCCAGGAAGGGTGATTCCACATGCAACCTAAGTTGACCCTTGGTTGTAAAAAGAACATAAAAAACGTTAGGTGGTCATACAATACACGTACAAAACACGTGTGATGCTCCATGCCAACATGACAACCAATGTGCCAACTATTGGTCCGTTATGACGCGGTGGGCTGGGGGCGGGGTCAGGTCCTGCCACCGCGCAGCTCCCCGCGGCAGGCCTGGATCTGCGCCGCCGCCGCGCCGTGGGGCAGGAGGGCGACGCCATGGGGCTGGTCGTACTGGGCCTTCAGCACCTACGAGAAGCGACCGCTGCACACGTACGGAGTCAGAACTGACATCACAGTAGATGCTCGACCACAAGAAACCTTCCACCAGAAACCCAACCCTGAGACCCCAGGACGTCCATTGATTTTTGGTGTGGGAGCATTACACGTTCCATAGCAAAACCATCGCAACCCAAGAAGCCCAGGGAACCTTGGAGCCAAGCAGGGTGTTTCTTGGCATGGGTCTCCACTGTAAGGAAGCACGATAAGGATGCAAGCCCCTTGGACGCCCATGTGGAAGCTACTCGAGCGGGGCTGGCCATCGAAAGTGTTCAGGGATGGACCGAAGAGGCAAGGATGCAAGGGTGCCCTTGGGAAGATTACCCATCCCTACTATTGGTTGGGACTGCGAACTTTCGAAGCTCCGCGCGGCGTTCTTGGATCTGCGCTGGACCCCCTCCCTGGGACGCGAAGCGCGCCCCAAGCGCAGCCAGGTGGACCCAGCGCAGATCCAAGAAGTCCGCGCGGAGCTTCGAAACTGTAAGTTCATCCATAGCTATTGCTCTTCTTCGAGCACCTTCAGCATGTTCTCGTCAGAGACGCCCACGCGGTGGGCGATGGCCCAGTCGGCGGAGGTCTTGCCATCTGGCGCCTTTTCCTCGTCCTCGCCCTCGGCCGTGGTCACTGTACGCTCCATCGTGATGGTCTTCTGCGCGAGGTAGGCGTCGATCTGCCCCGGCTTCAACTCCAGGGGGGAAGGCGGCAGGCCCCTGAAGAAGGCGGCGTACTGCTCCGGGTCCTTCACCTCCGCGTCGACGGTGGCGATCAGCTTGTCGTTGTCGTAGAACTCCACGTGCTTCATGTTCCTGGCGAACAGCAGCATCTTGTCCGCCATGTCTGCGGAGGCCTGCAGCTCCCCCCGGACGGTCGTGAGGCCCATCTTCATGCCCAGTTCCGAGCGCGCTGGGCGCAAGGCCAAGCGAAACACGGTGGGATAGCTCGCGGCCCGCTCGATCTCGAAGGGCGTGTGGCTGTCTGGGAAGTTCTCCTTGAGCTTCTCGATGGTGAATTGGCGCCCGCGCCTGGCACCTGGCTTCGCTACGAAGCCGCGCGTAAGGTCGAAGTAGTGCAGGCGATTGTTTGCGAGCAGTTGCGGGCAGTCGCAGTATCGGTACATCACGTTCAGTCCCACGCCGAAGCGGCCGCTGGAGCTGAAGTCCATGCGCTTCTTCGAGCTGCCGACGTTCTGCATGCGCGCGATGTCATTTGCATTCAAGGCCTTGTCTGAGCACACGTACAGCGCGGGTCCCTGCAAGGACGCCGTGCGAGGGTCAACAACCCGTTCGGACCCGAACGCTGGCTCATGGATGAAGAAGGCCACGTTGGTGGCGCCCGCATCGTCGCAGTTCTGCACGAACTCCTTTACAAGATCAGCCTGCTCACCGTACTCCTGCAGAAGCTGCTTGACCTGGCTCACCAAGTCGGCCTCCTGGCCGAAGGCGTCGCCGTCCTGCGCCGCGTCGCCCTCCTCGCACTGGCGGGTCATCTCCTCGCGCAGCGAGGAGCAGCCGAGCATCCTGCCGTCCTCCGCGCTGATCCTGGGGTGCAGCGTGACCATCGCCTTCTCGCTCTGCCACGGGGCATCGTCGATGAACACCGCGCCCACGTCCCGCACCGTGTTGAGGACGGTCGGCACCACGACCTTCGCGGGCCGAGGCTCCTTGGCCCGCAGCCGCACCGCGAGCTCGATCGCCAGCGCGACGGCCAGGTCGGTGGACACCGGGGCCTCCTCGCCCTCCTCCCCCTCGGGGGCGTCCAGGGCCGCCGCCAGGACGTCCGCGCGGGGCTCCTTGGCCACGCCCGCCGCCTCCGCGATGAGCTTGATGGTCTGGTCCCCTGGCTTCACGAGGCCTATGACGGGGCTCAGGGCGCGATGCGTCTGCTGCGCCCGGAACGCAGCGCTCCGGGGCGCGTAGAGGTCGACGCCGTCGGTGGCGTCGTCCGCCGGGAGGCAGGGCACAAAGGCCACGCCCTCCAGCAGCGGGTGCTTGTCGAGGCCCTGCAGCTTCGACAGCAGCGGCAGCATTGCGGCAAAGACTTCCCGCATGTGCGCCAGGACGGCGTTGGAGACGCGGGGCGGGCCACCGCCGCCGCTGCCACTGGGGGCCATGTTGGAGACGACCAGGGCATTCAGCTGCTCGATCAGGACGCCCGGCTCCTTCTCGATCGAGCGCCCGGGCCGCAGCTCCGCGACCGCCGTTTCCGCGACCAGGGACTGCGCGACGGCCCACACCAGCTTGCTGGCAGAGGCGGGGAACGCGTCCTTCGCGACTACGAGCGCAGTGGCGTCGGGCGGCTCCGACTCTGTGCTGGTCTGCTTGGCTGGAAGCCACGCGAGCGCCTTTAGCCTCTCCAGCGCCGCGGCACGGGACCCGACCAGGGCGGAGTGGTGCCCGTTCAGGTGCGCCAGCAGCAACTTCGCCCTTTCAGAAAAGCAAGAACTACACAAAACATAAACTCTCGAAGGTCCGCGCGGACTTCTTGGATCGGCGCTGGGCTCCCCTTCCTGGCACGCGGAGCGCGCCAGGGGCGACACGGGAGGCCGCGCTAGGGGAGCCCAGCGCGGATCCAACAAACCCGCGTGGACCTCCGAAAGTTGAATGTGAACATTTTCCTATTCGGCGTTTCGGCATTGGGCGGAAGGGAGGGGCGGAGGAGAGTTTCAGCTCCGGGCCTCTGCTTAATGCGACTGCCTGCAGCAGCGCGTCCTGGGTGGAAAGAGACTCCACCGCCTGCTTGAAACAGGCGCCAATAAACAGCCAAGATCCGCTCCAGGAGGGGGGGAAGGAAGGGGGTGCGAGGGCCCGCGCCGATCGGCAAAACAATGGATAAGAACACTGCCACAATGTCATTGTGCTGTTTCTTCTTCGACCTTTTCACGTCGCCCTCGCGCGCAACCGCCTCCGCCTCCTCGACCAGGTCCTCCCAGGTCAGCTGCGCCTTCAGCCCACAGAGCCGCAGCACGCGCCACACCTCGGGCGGGTGGCAATGGGGGGGGACCTAAATGGGGGGCTAAGGAAAGAGTCCTACAGGGGCCCTTTAGGGCCCCTTTTGGGCACCAACCGGCTCCAATAGGGGCCCTAGAGGGCCCCTTTAGGGTCGTTTTCTTCACCCCTCACTACGGTCACCCCCCATTGCCACCCGCCCGAGCACCGTCTCCCGATCCAGCCCGGCGTCGGCCACGAGAGGCTCGATCGCGGCCTTGCGCGAGCTGGACACCCGAAAATCCGCCAGGCTGCTCAGCGGCTCAAAGCACTCCTCGATGGTGCGCAGCACGCCCTCCTCTGCAGAGGAGCGCAGACACCCCCAAAACGGCATAGTTATACACTGTCGGAGGTCCGCGCGGACTTTTGTCGATCGGCACCGGGCCCCATGGCAGCGCCTCGGGCGCCGCCAGAGAGGGGGGTTCCAGCGCCGATCCAAACAACTTCCAGCGGAGCTGCAATCGTTTATGCTCATGCCTTATATTCAGTTTGTTATTCCCAGGCTCCTCGGTTGGGATCCACTTGGTCTTCCCGAGCTTCCTGCCGAGCTCGCGTATGTCGGCTTCCTTCCACGAGCCAGCCCATTCGAGGACGGTCAGGAGCAGCGACGCCTGTCCGGTCTCCCCAAAGCCCGACGCAGCGGGAATCATCACCTCGAACAGCAGCCAGTCCAGGCTGTACGCCGCGGCGGCCAGCAGGTTCTGGAGCCGCTCGCCGCGCGAGGGCACCAGCGCGAAGTACCTTCTGCGGCAACTCATGAGAGCTTACCATACCATCCTGCTGGCGCTTGCGAATCGATGCGAATCGACGCTAGTCGACGCGAACCGACGCTACATGTACGCTAAATCGACGCCAGTCCATGCTACTTCGGCGGTTCCTCATGGACTACCACGAGGGAGCGCGCGCGAATGCCCTCCAAGCGTGGACTTGCGAGGACGTGCCAGGCTCCCGTTGCTTGCTGCCGCAGCGCGCCTGCTCGTCGCCAGCTCCTTCTTCAGCATCATGTCGGTGCAACGGACGAGGATCTTCCGCAGGCTCGCGGCGACGGGGCCCTCCAGGAGCTGCCGGTTCCACGCCTTCTCCCGGGGAGGCTTCTGCTCCTGCTCGTCCGGGAGCGGCAGGGACTTCCTCGAGGGCGGCAGGGCGAAGGGCGCGGAGACCCAGGCGGAGCTGTTCGTGCGGAACGCGGTGGGCATGCCGCAGCAGACCTTGCCCACGTCCTTCGCGGGGGGGGGAGGGGGTCGCCAGCTGTGCACCGACACCCCGATTCTGGGTCAGACCCATGCTCAGCCCAGGATCTGTGTGGCTCTCCAGGCCTGGCCGGGGAGGCCTAACAGCAGACACATTGCTTCGGCAGAGCTGGCTGCACCAGCGATATAGAGCTAGACGGGGGCACCGAAAAAGCGGAGCCTACAGCAGGCACATGCGATGCAGCAGATCTTCCCCAACAAGAATATACGGGGCACGCTCGTCGTCGAGCGCTGAGCTCCCGCAGGTGTCCCGAGGCTTCTGCGGGGCCCCCAGGGCCGACGGGGCACACGGATCTGCTGTGGTGCACCTGCGGACAGGCCAGTCCCTCCTTCTTCGACGCGTCTGCCGTATACGCCGATCCTGGGCCCAGCATCGGCCTGTTCAGGATCGGTGCAGGCCTATGCGGTCGGGGGCGTGTGGACGGCGCGTCGCCACGGTGGCCCCGGCGACACGCCCTGCCCTGCAGGCGGACTGCGCGTCGCTCCGCTCCGCGGGGCGGGAGGTCGGGAGAGGCTCGGCACGTGGACGCTTCGGGGGCCGAAGCGTGGATCGCGTGCCGCGCCGAGGCGTGGAGGGGGCAGACCGGGCGGAGCGGCGCGCCATCCCAAGGCTCCCGACCGCACAGCGCGGCGCCCCCGCCGAGTCCTGCTCCTTCTCGGAGGGGCCCAGCCGCACCGCCGCGGCGCCCCAGGGAGTCCCCGCGGCAGCGCCGGCGGCGGCAGCCGCTGGTGCCGCCGCGCCCGCGGGCCCGTGGGCGCCCGCGGCGCACGCGAGCAGCCATCGCGCCTCGCTGCGCTTGCCGCCGCACTCGGAGGCGACGGTCACGCAGGAGACGTGGTCCCCGGTGGCCCCCGCCTGCGCTCGGGGGCGTCCACAAGAGGGGGGGGGTCCATAAGAGTGGGGGGGTCGCAGATCATGGCCCGAGGCATCCGTGCACGGCCCGGGGGCGGCCGAGGACCGCACTGAAGTAAGAGAAAAGAGGCCAAGAAACCTGAGGAGATTTCGTGGCCCAGGCCAAGATGTCCACCTCCCCCAGTCATCACCCGCCTCTTGGCCGCGCCCGATTCTCGGAGCAGCACGGCAACTGAGACAGCGGCAGCTCACAGTCGCTCCGCGGAACCCCTCCCGGGGTCCGGGCGCGCCAATTTTCCGAGCTGCGGCCAGCCGCGGCGACGCGCCCCCCCCAACTGCCGTTGTCTCAAACAAGGCCTGCTCCTCCTCATCCTCCCCTCCTCCTTCTCCTCCCCCTCCTCCTCCTCCTTCTCCTCCTCCTCCACCTCCTCCTCCTCCTCCTTCTCCTCCTCCTCCTCCTCCTCCACCTCCTCCTCCTCCTCCTCCTCCTCCTCCTCCTCCTCCTCCTCCTCCTCCTCGGACCTTCGGCTCCGGGGCGGCGGCCGACACGGCCTCGAAGAAGGCCAGGTGCCCCTCGGGGTCCTCGGGCGTGGCGCTGTGCGTGCCGACGGGCGCCGCGCCGTCGGCCAGCTCCACGCGGCGGAGCCCGCGGGCGAAGAGCAGGAGCTTGTCCGCCGCGGCGGAGGCCCTCTGCAGCTCGGCGCGCACCGCGGAGGCCGACACCTGAGCGACGAGGAGGAGGAGGAGGAGGAGGAGGAGGAGGAGGAGGAGGAGGAGGAGGAAAGGAGGATAGGGCTGATTCTGACGGAGGGCCCTTACGCACGACGGCGCACGGCGGGTGCGTGCCGTGCCGACGATCGGCCGTTTCCGAAACGTCAGATCGTTGAACGTCGGCCGATTCCAGGTCGCTGGCGGCGCCCAGCGGTGAACGCCGGCGGCGGAGTCGCCGCTGGTTGACGCGACGCGGACCTATCGCATGTCAACCACGCGGTGGCTTCAGCGGGCCGCCAGCGCGGCACACCGCGAACAGAAGAGGGCGCTGACGCGCGGCCTTGTGCGAGAGGCCCACGCGCGAATCTCCGCGCAGTCGGCCGACCCCGCTCCCTCCCGCCGTCCACCTTGAGGCCCAGCTCGGACTTGTCGGCCCGCAGCGCGAGCCGGAGCACCAGCGGGAACCGCTCCAGGAGCCCAGCCTCACGGGGAGGAAAGGGTACCGACACCGCTGCTCGTCCTGGAGAGCTCTCACCGCAACGGCTGGATTCGCCTCAAGATTCTGGTCCGAACGCACCCCAGGAGAGGTCCAGGGAGTAACGGTGTCGGAACCTTTGTCACCCCTCAGCCTCCTCGAACGGCGCGAGGTGGTCCGGGAAGCTCTCGCGGAGCTTCTCAGCCGAGAACTCGAGGCCGCGTCTCGCGCCCGGCTTCGCCACGAAGCTTCCGGTGACGTCGGCGAAGGTGAGGCCGCCGCAGGCCAGCAGCTGCGGGCAGTCGCAGTAGCGGTACATGGCCGTCAGACCAGGCCCGAGCCGCCTGGACTCGTGCTGCCCCTCTCCTGGCGTATCGCCCAGGCGCATCAGCTTGGGCACGTCCTCGGGGGACAGCTTCCTGAGATGAAGGAAAAAATCTACATAAAAACAGAACCGTTCGGAGCTCCGCGCGGCTTCCTTGCTCATCGGCCCTGGGCCCCCCCTGGCGGCGCAGCGGGCACCGTTCCCTGGCGCGCCCCGCCCGCCAGGAACGGAGGGCCCAGCGCAGCTCCAAGGAAGCCGCGCGGCGCTCCGAAGTGAGCGTTTCCTTGTTCGGCGTTTCGACACTGGGCGGAAGGGGGGGGAGGGGGGGGGTCCGGCTCCAGACCTCTGCTCGATGCGAGTGTTTGCATCCGTGGGTCCCCCCTGTGAGGCTCCACCTGCTCGAAGCAGGCGCCAGAAACAGCCAAGGCCTACTCCTTGTGGGGGGGAGGGGGGTGTGCGAGGGCCTGCGCCGATCGGCAGAACAATCAATGATGAAGCAACTGTTTCTTCTTCGATTCCTGTCGGAGCACAAATACAGCGCGGGCCCCTGCAGCGCGGCCGTGCGCAAGTCCACCACCCGCTCGGTGCCGAACGCCTCCTCCCGGAGGAAGACCGCGACGCTGCTGGCCCCGGCAGCGTCCTCGCGCTGGAGGCGGCTGGTGGTTCATGAACCAGTTGGGACCCCAGAAAATCGGCCAGGAGGGGGAATGTAGCCGAATCCGCTCCAGACCGATCTCCGGACAGGGCCCGAAAACAGCCCCTGGAGACCGCAAAGGGCAAAAAGCCCGACCCCATGAATCTCGAATATGCCGTCCTTCCTGCTGGCCGGAGCCGGTGCTGGGCCACCTCGCTGGTATGAACATCGTTTGAGAACATTGGACCCCAAACCGTTTCGTTTTGAACATCTGTGTCCCTCAACCGAGCGGCCGTGGACAAGGCCCTTGGGGCCTTCGAATGTACGAACACTCCAGGTTCTGAACCGTCGAGGAGCAGCGTTTGCGAACCTCCGAGACCACGAGCATGCTTTTCATTCAGCCGACCACATGCCAGGGCGCGTTTCATCCAGCCGAACACATACTGGTGCGCGCCTGGTCCTCAGACCCCCAGACTAGGGGGCCTCTTAGATGGGGTCGGAGTAGATGGAGTCGGAGGATCGCGCCGCATCGCCGATGCATCGGCGATGCGTCGGCTATGCATGGGTGATGCATCGGCGATGCTCCGGCGAGGCATCGTCGACGTCGGCGTTGCATCGGCGACGTCGTCCTGAAGCAAATCGGGCTCCACATCGAGCCGCATCGCCGATGCATCGACGATGCGGCGCGATCCTCCCACCCCATCTGCTCGGACCCCATCTGGGAGGCCTCGGGGCCACGATCCTCATGCAGGATGAACTCGGGGATGACCTCCGCGGCGTCGCCGTAGTCCTGCAGCAGCTGGCGCACGCGCCCGACCAGGTCCGGCGCCTCGCCGAGGGGGTCTGGCGCGTCGCCCCCGGCGGCGGCCTGGCTCCGCAGCGCCATGGCCTCGCGCAGCGAGGTGCACCCGAGCTCCCTGCCTGGGGGCCCCAACCCAGCCCCAGGCCCGTCCTCAGGAAGGGGTCCAGACCTCTGGGGGTCGACGCTGTGAAAAAAAATCACGACGTCGGGGGTCTGCGACCCGAGGCCGCCGCTGTGCCCGACCAGATTGCGAGTGGGGGGCAGCGCGGGAGCACATGGAGAAAAGACCGTGGAGCCCGTACACACACACACACACATACACACACACACACACGCACGCACGCACGCACGCACGCACGCACACACACACATACTCTCTCACACACACACACACACACTCACACACACACACACACACGCACGCACGCACGCACGCACGCGCACGCACGCACGCACGCACGCACACACACACGCCGCCCGCGCCCGCCGCCCGCCCGCCCGCCCGCCCGCCCGCGCGCGCGCACGCACGCGCGCGCACGCGCACGCACGCGCACGCACGCACACCACGCACGCACGCACGCACACACACACACACACACACACACGCACGCATCGCACACACACACACACCACACACACACACACACACACACACACACACGCACGCACGCACACGCACGCACGCACGCACGCACGCACGCACGCACGCACGCACGCACGCACGCACACACACACACACACACACACACACACACACACACACACACACACACACACACACACACACACACACACACACACACACACACACACGCGCACACACACACCAAAACCAGATTTTTTGGGCAGGGAGAAAACACAGAGTGGAACCCGTACAACCCCCAAAACAATTGCTTTTTGTTTTGGGGGGGGGACCTTCGGGCTGGGCTGGGGCGGTCTAATGAGCAGTAGCTGCCGTCTTCCGCGCCGATCTTCGGGTGCAGCGTGACGATCTCCGTCTGTTTGCGCCACGGGGCGTCGTCGATGAATACCTGCTCGAAGCGCTCCACCCTGCCGCAGGAGGTCGGCACCGCGATGCCAGGAGGGCGCGCCTCCTGTGCACAAGCGTGTTCCACTACTCGCGAAGCAACTGCTCGCAAATGGCCTGGATCCGCCGCGGGGGGGGTACGATACATGACATCGAGGAAGACGTCTGTTGTTGCTCGGACATTTGCGAGCAGGCTCTCTGCGAGTGGTGCAACGCGCCCGGTGATCCTTGGCCCGCAGGCGCGCGGCCAGCTCGCACGCGCAGGCCACCGCCAGCTGCATGCCGGCCTCCCCGGCGGGGGCCTGCCGCACCGCCTCCGCCAGCGCCTCGGCGCGCGGCTCCTCGCGGGCGGGTGGCCATATGGGAGGCGACCCGCAAAAGGGGGGGGGGGCACCAGGACGCCAAAAGAGGCCCCTGAGGGTTGGAGAGCCCAGGACTCGCTAGGGATTGGCTTCCTCCGAAAAACAACACAATCCCTTCCAAAACCCTCCCGAAGCCCCAGAACCCCTCCCGGAGGGTTTCCGGAGAGGTTCGGGAGGGTTCCGCCTGTTTCGAAAGCAAACCAGTCCCCAACGAATCCTCGAGTTTCTAACCTTCGGGGTCCTTTTGAAGCCCAATAGGGGTCGAAAAGGAGCTCCCCTGAAGGGCCCCAATGGGGCCCTGCCCTCCCCCCCCCCCCCCTTTCGGCCACCCCCCATTAACGCCCGCCCGATCCTTCGCGACCCCCGCGGCCTCCGCGATGAGGCGCGCGGTGGCGTCGCCGCGCTTCACGAGGCCAACTGCCGGGTGCAGCTCGGACGGGGCGCGCCGCGCGCTGAAGGCGGCGCGCCCCGGCGTGAACAGGTCGGCCCCCTTCTCCTCGGCCTCGCAGGGAGCAGAAATCCGATGCAGTCCCCCGTGACACGGGATAAGTCGACCCCTACAGTGGGAGTGGGAGCTCGACCACAAGAAACCTTCCACAAGAAACTTAACTCTCAGACCCCAGGACGCCCATGGATTTTTGGTGTGGGAACGTCGCGCTTCCCATAGCAAAACCATCGAAACCCAAGAAAACCAGGGCACCCTGGAGGCAAGCAGGGTGTTTCTTGGCACGGGTTTCCACTGCATTCCAGGCTTCACTGGTGTTTAAAATGGACCAGCATTTTTGGGCCCAACCCTCTGAGATATACGATAGGGGGGGCGTCTTTCCTCGATATGGGGTGCGTCCGAATGGCCCCCTGGGGGTGTATCCCAGGGTTTCCCTCCTTTTCTGAGCGGCAGAACTTTTCTGAACCGCCTGCGACTCCAGGCGCCCTTCCAGAGAGGGATACCCTCTCCCCCACCTGACCAGGGGCTGGCCTAGAACCATGACAACACCCCCCACCCGCACGAGACCTGTCGAAACAACAATACGAAGTGCACTCTGCGGCAGAATCTGGGTCATGCGCGGGCACCAAGCGATCACTTTACATTGAGTTGTCTGCTGCGCGCAAGCCAATCATACGACGATGTACACTTTGCGGCAACCTTCAAGAACGTCCGCCCCAACCGCGTCGTAAGAGGGCTCCACGAGGCGACATGTCGGGCTCAAGAGGGACGCCAATCGGCGCCGTCCTTTCGCTCAAACCAAAACCATTGTTCTTCATAGAGTTTCGCACCTCGGGGACATCCTTGGGAGGCTGTTCGGCCAAGATGGCTCCAGGATGGCTTCAGATAGCTCGAGATGGCCTCCAAATTGCGCAAGATGGTCCAGGATGGCTCAAGACCTTCTCCAGGACCAGCCAAAGACGGCTCCAAGCAACCACACACCGTCAAAAGAAGACCACCGAGAGGCCAACATCACTTTACGCACGCAATGTTGTTCCGTGTTTGGGATTCTCGCCTTTCTGCTTCCGGTGAACCACTGAGGCCCCAATATGGCCCAACGATCGCACGAGAGATGCCATGAGATGCCCCCAGAGGGTTCCAGAAGGGGGCCAATACTGCTCCAAAAGCGCAAGAGCCCAAGCAGGCTCCAACAGGCGACGCTTCGGGCTCCGACGGGACACCCCCCTTCTTCGATCGATGCCCCCAGAGATCCCCCACAGAGGGCTCCCGAGGCCCCTAAAATGGGGCGCCGAAGGGCTCTGATAGCTCCCCGACTAGCCCCACGAGGGCTGCAAGATGGCTCCAAGAGGCTTGGCGCAATGGACTGACTCTTAGAGCGGAAGATCCACGAAGGTCTTCATGATTGACTCCTGTCGCTGTCGTCGTCGTCGTCGCCGTCGTCGTCCCCCTCCTCCTCCTTCTCCTCCTCCTCCTCCTCCTCCTCCTCCTCCTCCTCCTTTTCGTCCTCTTTGATGCCGCCGTCGTGGCTCCCTTCCTCCTTCATCCTCCTCCCATCCTCCTCTTCATCCTCCCCTTCCTTTTCCACTTGTTCCTCCGCATCCTCATTCTTTGACGCCACTCCTGGGTACCGTCAGGCTGATTTCGAGCTTAGGCTTGACGGCTAGCTCACGTGCCTGTTCCACTGGATGCTCCTGCACAAATCCTTGATCCTGGCGGCTCGCCTGGCGATCGTTCTGGGATGGGCTGGTGGGGATAGGCGAAGCGTCAAAGATATGCCGATACCGCTAACACCTGGACCTCGCCCGGGTGAGCTCTGATCAGGGTTCTGAGTCGAAGTCAGCCGTTTCGATGAAGGACCCTGCAGGAGGCCCCAAAGCGCGGAGACGCGGAACGGTGATCGGCATCGGCTCGCCTTCCTTCCCCCCTGGGCCTCGCCCCCAGCGAGGCACGGGATAAAGGCGACGCCCTCGAGGCGCGGGTGGGTGGCGAGGCCGGGCAGCTTCGACAGAAGCGGCAGCAGCGCCTGAGGAGCAGAAAACGGCATGGACACAAACTTTCGGAGCTCTGTGCGGATCTCTTGGGTCTGCCCTTGACCCCGAGGGCAGGAGGAGGGAGGAGGAGGAGGAGGAGGAGGAGGAGGAGGAGGAGGAGGAGGAGGAGGAGGAGGAGGAGGAGGGGAGGGGGAGGAGAGGAGGAGAGGAGGTGAGGAGAGGAGGAGGAGGAGGAGGAGGAGGAGGAGGAGGAGGGCGGCCCAACGCCGATCCGAGGCATCCGCGCGGTGCTGCGGAGGCTTTTTGTCTGCAGTCGAGCTTGGTCGGAGAGGCCACGCGAGACGGCACCAGATCCTCCCGAGGGCCACACTGCCACAGGAATGTGGAAGGCATGGGTCGCGAAACACGGGACACAAGCATACGTCAGGTTCGTGTCGTGCCGACTTCGGCGTTGGTTTCTGACACCGCGGGGATCGTTCAACCTTGAACGATCGGCAAGTCACCAAACGTCCGATCGTTCAACATCGACCGATTCTGGGTCGCCGGAGGCGTTCAACCTTGAACGCTCGCCGCTGGTCACCACGACGCGAACCTGCCGTACCCTTGATTTGGCAGGATCGACCTCCTCCGGTCGGGAGCTTTTGCTTAGCATGCGGCGGCTGCCCCAGCGAAACGCTGGGCCATGCGAGCGGACAGCGTGCCGCTCCGCTCCGCGGGGGCGGGAGGCGCTCGGGAAGGCTCGGGGCGCCGACGCTCGGGCATGGGGAGAAGCGGCCAGCGCTTCGCGCCGAGGCGTGGTGGGCCAGAACCTGCGGAGCGACCCGCTGAGCCAGAATTCTCAACCATCATTTTTTTTTTTTTCCTGCGCCACGGCAGTGCGCAGAAGAAATCAGAAAACGGTGTCGGCGCGCGCGCGCTCCCCCCACGTAGACCAGCCTCGGACGAACCGGCAACTGGCTGCTAAGGGGGGCGGCGCAGAAGAGCTCGAGCAACGGCGGGCTGGGGGGCTCTCAGGCTCCTTGGAGTCCCTGCGCAAGGCGGTCGACACTCCTTGGTCAGAACTCTCAGCCATAATCGAACTCGTGCCGTCGCGACCCCGGCGCTGGTCTCTGACACCGCGCGGATCGCTCGGCCTTGGACGATCGGTGGCGGTTCGATCGCCCAGCTGGGCGAGTCTGGGCCGCCGGCGGCGTTCAACCTCGAGCGCCAGCTCCGGGGTCGCCGCCGCGTCGGCAAGGAACGAGCCTGCCCGAATCGAGCTCGGCTGCACGTAGCTCTTCTCCGTCTATAGAAGAAAAACCTGCACAGACATGAACCTTGGGAGCTCCGTGCGGATTTCTTGGATCGGCGCTGGACCCCACTCGCATGGCGCGCGACGCCAGAGGCGCCGCCAGGGGGCCCCCCTGACGCCGATCCAAGAAATCCGCGCGGACCACCACATGCTACAATGTCTTGCCGTTCTTCCTTCGCCGATTCGCCGAACCAGCCTCGAACGTGTCCCCAGCCCTAGACTGCCGAGCCAGGGGCGATGACAATCTGAGGGATGCGCCCTCAGAAACTGAGGGAACCCCTGAGATCGGCATCGAGGCAAACCAGACCTCCTTCGACATAATTGTTTCAGCCCGCGGCCCCATGAGCTCCCGACTCCTTCCCTGCAGGGCAAGTCTTCGGCCCGGATGCCTTGTTTTGATGGTCCCCGGGCACGACAGCGGGCCCCGGGCGGAGGCCGATTATACTCAAGGAAACGCCGCTGGATGGAAACATATATATATATATATATATATATATATATATGTCGGCGGTGCGCCGTGGCACGAACCCCCCCCCCCAGCACTACCGGGGGGTTTCGTGCACTACCGGGGGGTTTCGTGCAGCCCGCACCGGGTGCCGCCAGCGGCTTAGAACACCCCCCCCTTGCCGCTTTACCGGGGGGTTTCGTGCAGGCCGCACTGCGTCTACCTGGGCTCCCCCCCCCCCCTGTGGGAGTGGGGGGGTGGGAGTGGGGGGTGGGTTGGGGGGGGGGGCAGGGGGGCGGTTGGGAAGGGTGGCTCCCTGTCGAAGTGTGGCGTGTGCTCGCCTTGTGTTCTCTATTCGCGTCTGCTCGCCTTTGTTCCGCCGCAGCCTCTCGTATTGTGGCTCGTGGCCACAATACGAGAGGCTGCGGCGCAACTCCCGAGAGCCGCTGTGGGGGGTCGACGGCACGGCCGCGTAGAGAAGAACAGTGCCGCCGTGTTCCGGCACGGCCCTGGGATGCAATGCCGCCGCCGTGTTCCGGCCCGTCCTGGTAAGATTCGCGCGTCGGGGCTGGGGTTCGCGCGTGCCGGGAGCGCGCCGCTTACGGAGGGGTTGCGTCCTTACCGGGGGGGTTCGTGCAGCCTACCAGAGGAGGTCGTGTTTACCGGGGGGGTTCGTGCAGGCTCGCACCGGGAATGGCGCCAGCTCGAAACCCCCCAGGAGAGATTACCGGGGGGGGTTTCGCTCCGCACCGGGCACCGCCGACATATATGTATATATATATATAATATATATAATATTATATGTAATATATATATATGTCGGATCTGGGCCATGCTAGAGGAACAACAACCACGTAATTAAGCCTAAAGGTTTGGAGGGGCCCGCGCGATTCTTGGATCCGAGCCGGACCCCCTTCCCGGCGCGCGGAGCGCGCCAGGGGTCCAGCGCAGATCCAAGAAACCCGCGCGGAGCGCCAGAATTGGATATTGATGCTGTTTCTTCGTTCTTTCTTCGACACGCGCCGCCCGGCCCAGGGTTTGGGACACGCTTCAGGCCAGCCCGGCCCCCTCCCAGCGCCGCGAAGGCGGCGAGCAGGTGCTCCAGCGCGGCCGGGCTCGCCCGCGGCGCCGCGCCGGCGCCCGCGCTGCTGGCCGCGGCCTGCGCCAGGGCGCGCACCTGCTCCACGAGGACCTCCGGCTCCGCCTCCACGCTGCGGCCCGGCTGGAGCTCCTATAGCCGGCGCGCCCGCGAGGAGGAGGAGGAGGAGGAGGAGGCGGAGGAGGAGGAGGAGGAGGAGGAGGAGGAGGAGGAGGAGGAGGAGGAGGAGGAGGAGGAGGAGGAGGAGGAGGGGAGGGGGGGGGGGGGAGGGGGAGGGGGGAAGAAAAGGAGGAGGGGGAGGAGGGAGGAGGGGGAGGAGGAGGAGGAGGGAGGAGGAGGAGGAGTGAGGAGGATAGGAGAGAGGAGGGGAGGAGGAGGAGGGGGAGGAGGAGGAGGAGGAGGAGGAGGAGCAGGAGGAGGAGGAGGAGGAGGAGGAGGAGAAGGACCCCCTCGCGCAGCGCAGAAATCACGACGCGGGAGATGTTGCACGGTGCTCGGCCATGTCCAGGGGGCCCCTGCGGCGCCTCGCGAGGCCGTCGAAGAGCGCTCGGGACGGCCGGCAAGCACCCTGTCCTGTGGGGCAGGGGCCGAGGCCTCAGGGGGCGCGGCGCGCCCGAGGGGGGAGCGGAGCGGAGCGGGGCGGCGCCGGTGGCGGGCACACGGGAGTATAGCGCGCGGGCTCGTGCCGTGACGACCCCGGCGTTGGTGCCCGACACCGCGGAGGGATCGTTCAACCCTGGACGGCCGACCTTTTCCGACACGTGGGATCGCATTCGACGACAGCCCCTGAGACCCGGCGTTGCAACAAGAATTGCAACGTCGCAAAACATCATCACGCCCAGAACCCTGGACCCCACCTTTGTGCATCATGCTTCGAGCCAGATCGATCTGTGGGGGTCCCGGGGCCCGAAATTTCAGCGACAGCGCCCTTGTTTGTGCAAGAAATTGCAAGGCCAAGATCTCAGGGTCGACCGACTCTGGGTCGCCAGCGGCGTGGCAACCGCTCGAGCGCCCGCGGCGGGGTCGCCGCCGGTCGGCGCGGCGCGGACCTGTATACCGTGCCCGTGCCCCTTGCTGGGCAGGGCGCCAGGGGTCGTGTATTGCGGGATGACGATTATTCAAAAAAATAGGAGAGAACGATCCATGAATTAGTTTTCTGCTATTTCTGTACACTTTTCTGATTGGAGGAGAACGATAGAAAAAAAAATAGTTTTCCAGCCCGCGGCCGGTTTTTTCTAATCGTCATCCCAGGCGCCGCCGCGTGAACACGACCCCCGGTCATTTGTTAATCGTCATCCTCCATTATAGCCTCAGAACGCGTGGGTTTGCAGGAGTGGTGGTTGAAATCGTGCGGGCCGCGGGCAGGCGCTCCGGCGTGCCCGAGGCGGGGGGGGGGGTGTCCAGGCCTGTTCTCCTTTGTTTTCGGCCTCCAGAGACCTTCCCGGGCCTCGGGACCGTCAGACGAAGACTCAGGATGAAAAACTGGTCCCCGGGAAGGGGGGGTCCAAACCTCTGGGAGTCGACAGTGTGAACAAAATCACGACGTCGGGGGTCTGGCTTGACGTGGTGGTCGCCGCCAGGGCCGCCGCCGCGGGTCGCGTCGTCTGGCCGCCGCTGCCGCGTACGGTCGTGGTCGACTTCGTCGTCGCCGTCGTCGGTCGCTGCTGCCGTGTTGCCGCGGGCACCGTCGGCTCGTAGTCCTCTCACTGGGCCCCTTCGCCGTCGGGGGGGGGGGGCCCAGACATCCGGTGTCCGGAGAAGGTGTTCCTCTCGGGGCCCTCGCCAGGCCCGGAGACCGTCCAAAAAACGGCGGGGGAGTGGTCGAGGGGTCGGGGGCCACGCGTTTCGAACTGCTCGAGACGCTGGAGGCATGGGAAGGCAAAGGGGCGGGCATCCTCAGAAGGCGGCGGGGAGGTTTAGAGCGATGGAAGAAGAATCACGCGCTCAAATCTGTATGGGCTGCACTCCGAACTTCATCATAAAACGACGGGGGTCTGATCTGGACGGGTTCTGGCTTAAGGTGTCTTGGAAGGTTCTGGGGGGTCTGTGCCAAAGGTCGGGCGGGGCGTCGAAGGAAGTATGGGTGCGGGTTGTCGGGCCACGAGGGGGGGGGGGCTTGCGTGCGAGCGGGGACCCCCGTCCGACAACACCCACACGCACACGCACACACACACACAAGCCCCCGTGGGAATCCCACCCCGAGAATTCGCATAAGTGTGGGTGCTATTCGTCAGCTCATGATCGGGGGCGGGCCAGGACACACAGATAAATACACACAAATAACAGGATTCCCCATGTTTTCCCATACTTTCTGGGCTTTTGTCTCCCCTCCCCCCCCACTTCCCATATTTTCCTACATTTTCTCGGGAATCGACGACGCATCGTGTCTGTGTGTGTGTTTTTGTTCCCTCCCGAGGCTCCTCAGGAGGCCCGAGGCCCTCCCAGCCTCCCGAGGAGACCGCCTCCTCTGCCTCCCCCCCCCCCTCTGGGCGCGCAGCCGACCCATCGGAGAGCACCGGGTCCGGGGGGGAAACCTCGAGCTGGATGAGGAGAGCAGTTAACCCGAATAAGCGATTAAGGACCCCCCCCCCCCCCCTCTCCGGTGAAAGGATAACGCACCCGGCACCCGGAAGCGTTATCCTGGCACCATTACCGTTCGTATTCGTATTCTTATTCTCATTACAATTCTAATTGGGATGCCACCCGAGGCGGGGCGCTGGAATTATTTATTTTCCTTCCATTTGCGCGGTGCTAATAATATCGCTCGGCGAAAACCCCCCCAGATAATTATTTAATTACGGCGCGGTGCTAATGATAACGCCGGGGGGTTCCTTAATTGCTTCTCCGGGTTATACCGTGTGGGGAGTCGGTGGTCGGGGGGGAATGGCTCGACAGGTACAGTTGGGCTTCCTGCCCCAAGGGACGCCACATAAGGAACGAAGCCCCTCTTGGGCCCCAAAAGCGCCTGCGTGCACGAGGAGGGCCAGATGAACAACCACGTAATGACCCAAGGAACAGCGAGCCCCTTCCGGACCCAAAGCGATCCTTACTTCAGCGTCTTGACTGTAGGAGCAATTGCACTCGGATGCCATGGCGCGATACGTTCGACCGCCTGCGGGCAATGGCATCCACATTTCTCCCACCCCCATCCTCCCAACCCGATAACTCTCTCCCTGGCTGGAATGAGCGACACAGCGCCGACAGTTCTGCGATGGGCCCCCCGAGCGCGAATCCGAGCGCCCCCGTAATTATGGGGCGGGCTATCGTGGCCCTCTCGGCCAATCCATGGGCGATCGGGGGTCGATATGCATCCCCCCTGGGTCGATGCTTCCCCCCCCTTGGGCCCACCCCTGATTGGCCCCCGCTCTCCTTCACCGGCGGCTCCGCGAACATCGACGGCGCCACGGCCCAGACGACCTTGCACGCCGCCGGCGCGAAGAGCTCTGCCAGGGGCAGCAGCTTCGAGGGCGTCCCGGCGTCCCCGCCAAAGGCCCCCGGCCGGGCAGGCACCCACGGCAGAGCGCCGAGCTTCTCCATGGCCGTGGCCCGCGAGCCCTGGAAGGAGGCGTGGCGCTTGCCGATGTGGGCGAAGAGCAGCTTCGCGCGGTCCACGTCGGCGTCGCGAACGACGGCCTCGGCCTCCCTGGTGGCGTCCTCCCAAGTGAGGTCCCTCTTCATCCCACACAGCTTCATCACGCGCCACACCACCTCTGCCTTGAGACCGGCCGCGCTGATGAGCTCGTCTATCTTGGCCCTGCCACCCACGACGACGGAGAACTCCTTCGGGCTCTCGTCCGGCACGAACGACTCGGTAATGGTGCGAGCGTCGCCCTCCTCTCAGGTCGGACGAGAAGGGGAATTGGTAAAAGAGAGGTTAGTGAATCAGCTGATTTAATTAGCTGCTTTTCCCAGTGCCTCTCGGAGTCGAGAGGCGCCAGAATATCGAGGAAAGGCGCTCAGCGACGGGACCGAAACCAGTTGCATGCAGCATGTGTCGTGGCACCCCCTGCTTTCCCTATCCCCCCCTTGCCCGGAGATCCGATCTTGTTTTTCAATAGGGCCCCCCCCAAAGTCCGCACCCCTTCCGCAGGGCCAGCTTTGCATCCTGAGTAGTAATTGTTTGACGGCCCTGGGGCCAGTAAGGACCCCCAGAGACCGAAAATCATGAAAAACTTCCGTCGCCAGTTTGCTCATTACATTGAAAGTCTGGGTTTGTCCGACCCCGATCCTCCACGGGGACCCACTTCACATCGGCGAGCTTTTTCCCGAGGTCCCTGATCTCGGCCTCCTTCCACGAGCCTGGGGGGCAACGATAAGGGGGGGCTAGCTCAGGGGGGGAAACATCGAGATAGAATCGGCGATAGATCGGCGATAGGCCCCCGATGGCGAATCCACACGTTCCTGGGCGGGGTGGGCTATCAGGCCCCTACCAGCGATGAATGGGCGATTGGGGGTCGATGCATCCCCCGCCGGGCCTCCCCCCCTACTATCGTTGCCCCTGAGTGCCTGCCCACTCCAACAAGGCCAACAGGGTCCCAGCGAGCTCGTCTGTCCGCCCCGAGCGCGCCGCCGTGGGCAGGATGGCTTTGGACAGGATCCAGTCCACGTCGAAGACGGCCTGCGACAGCAGGCTCTGCAGCCGGTCGCCCTTCGAAGGGAAGAGCCCGAAGTAGCGCCTGGTGTCCAGCTCCTAAGGTATCGATGCCGCTGCTCGTCCTCGTCGCCGCGGCTGGCCCCGCCTCGACACTCTGGCCAGAGGGCACCCCGGGAGAGCTCTGGGGAGCAGCGGCATCGGCTCCGTTCTCGCCATCGCTCGGACGTGCATTCCCCGTGCATGTTTTGGTTTCGTGCGTTGATTCTTCGCGCAATGGCCCGAGATGCTCCTGGATGGTCCTCGCCGAAGAAAAGATGCACGCGTCCGAGCGATGCCAAGCCTTTTGGGCTCCCCGGCTCCCTCTTCATGGCCAGCTCGGTAGCCCTGAGGATCAGGCCGCGCATGCTCTCCGTGACAGGCCCCTCGACCAGCAGCCTGTTCCAGCGCTTCTCCAGCGTCGGCTTGGCGTCCCCCTCCTCTGGCACCTGTAGCGCCCGGCACGCCGGCGGCAGCCAGAAGCTCCCGTGGATCCAGGCCCGGCTGTTCGTTCGGAACGGCGTCGGCGCGTCGCGGCAGAAGCACGCCGCCTCTTTGTCGTCCTCGCTCGGCTTGATCCGCAGAGCGGCGGCTCCGCAGGGAACAGCCCGCTTGGCCCCCTCTCGGCCCGCCCACTCCTGGGCAACCTTGACCATGTCCTCGCTCGCGACCCCTGCCGCGTGGGAGACGGCCCACTCGGCGGAGCCCTCGGCCTGCGGGCTCTGGAGCGCGATGGTCTTCGTGGCCATGTGGCTCCTCAGCTCCCCAGCCTTGGGGGGGCGCACGAGAGGGGCGGGGCCGGCTCACGGGAGGGAGCATCAACCGGGAATCGGGGATACGACGCCGATAGATCGGCGATGGGCCCCCGGCAGCGCATCCGCACGTTCCTGGGCGGGATGGGCCATCATGCCCCTCTCGGCGACGAGTGGACGACTGGGGGGCTATGCATCCCCTGAGCCTGTCCCACCCTGACGTTGCCCCCGAGGCCTTGAGGTCGCCGGGAGTGGCCGGCAGCCCGGCGAAGAAGGCCTCGAATCCGTCGGGGTCGCCGATGGTCAGGCTGTGCACCGCCAGCTGGGTGGTGCCGTCGTGGAACTCCAGGCGGCGCAGGTGGCGCGCGAAGAGCAGCGCCTTCTCCGCGGCCGCGGAGGCCCTCGACAGCGCGCTCCGCACTGCGGCGACCTCCACCCCGAGCCCGAGCTCCGAGCGCTCCTTCCGAAGGGGCAGGCGGAACACGGTCGGGAACCTCTGGACGACGTGGGGCACGTCGAGGGGCGCGTGGCTGTCTGGGAAGTCGCCCCGCAACTTCTCCATGACGAACGGCCGCCCCCGCCGGGCCCCCGGCCGCACGACGTAGTGGCGGGCCAGGTCGAAAAAGTGCGCCACGCCTCCGGCCACGAGCTGCGGGCAGTCAGTGTAGCGGTACATGGCGTTGATGCCGAAGTCGACGGGCCTCTTAACGCTGCCCACGACGACGTCCACGACGACGACGACGACGACGACGACGACGACGACAACGACGACGACGACGACGACGACGACGACGACGACGACGCGGACGACGACGACGTCGACGACGCCGACGCTCCTCCTCCTCCTCCTCCTCCTCCTCCTCCTCCTCCTCCTCCTCGGCCGAAGTCAACGGGCCTCTTCACACTGCCCACGGCCTGCATCTCGAGCACCTCCTCCGGAGACGTCGGCCTGTCGCAGCAGACGTAAAGGGCCGGCCCCTGCAGGGCGGCAGTGCGGGGGTCCAGCACGCGGTCCGTCCCAAAGGCCTGCTCCCAGAGGAAAAATGCCACAGCGCCGGCGCCAGCCGCATCGTAGTGCTTCACGAACTCGAGTATAAGCTCGTGTCCGTCGCCGCACTCCTGGAGCAGCTTACGCACGTGGCTGACAAGGTCGGCGCGGTCTCCGAACGGATCGCCGCCTGGCTGCTTGTCGGCCTCGCTCTGAGACGCGATCCTCTGGCATAGAGAGGTGCAGCCCAACACTGCGCCGTCGTCCGCGGGCACATCAGGATGCAGGGTGACGTGGTCGCGCTGTGCGCGCCAGGGCATGTCGTCTATGTAGACCTCCTCGGCGGCCTGCATGCCGCCGCTGGCGGTGGGCACCAATATCCTGGCTGGCCGGGCACACTTCGCACGGAGCCGCGCCGCCAGCTCGATCGCAAGGACCGTGGCGAGCGCAGGCTTCGGCGAGTTCTCTCCGGTGCAGCATAGGCTCTCGCCCAGCACCTCGGAACGCGGCTCCTTCGTCACGCCGACTGCCTCCGCTATGACGCGAATGCTGTGGTCCGACTGCCTCACGAGCCCCAGCGCGGGGCTCAGCGCCGTCTGGTTATGCTTGGCGCTGAACGCTGCGCGCTGCGGGTCGAAGAGGTCCGCGCCCTCGGACCCCTCCGAGGGCATGCAGGGCACGAACGCCACGCCCGCCAAGCGCGCGTCCTTCTCCAAGCCCGGCAGCTTGGCGAGGAGAGGCAGCATGGCCCCGAAGGTGGCGCGGAGGTGGTCCAGGGTCTGCGCGCCCACAAAGGGCGGCCTGCCGCTGGCCTTGTCCGCCGAGTCCGCTAGCGCACGGACCTGGTCCACCAGCACCCCAGCCTCCTTCTCCACGGCGCGGCCAGGCTTCAGCTCCGAAACCGCGGCATCCATGAACATCGTGGGCGCGACCGCCCAAATGAGCTTGCGGGCACCCGGCGGGAAGACCTCCGCGATCGTCCTCAGCTTCGCCGCCTCCGTGGCCCCAGGGTCTTTGCTGGGCTCGACCGCTGGCACCCATGCAAGGTCCTGCAGCTTCTTGAGGGAGGCGACACGGGAGCCCCTCAAGGAGGAATGCCGCTTGTTCACGTGCACGAACAGGTTGCGGGCCCGCTCCACATCAGGACCTGCTGCCGCCGCCTCGGCGTCCTCCACGGCGTCCTCCCAGGTGATCTCGGTCTTGAGGCCGCAGAGCTGCAGCACCCGCCAGACGGCCGCCTCGGAGAGCTCCAGGTCCTTGATGAGACCGTCGATCTTGGCACGCCTGTCGCGCACGATCCTCAGCGCCTCTGGGCTCTTCGCTGGGTCGAAGGAGCCTGCGACGGTCCGCACCTCGCCGCACTCGGTCGGCAACCACTTCACGTCGGCGAGCCTCCTGCCCAGATCCTTGATCTCCGGTTCGTTCCAGGATCCCGCCCACTCCACGAACGGGAGCAGCAGCGACACGCACTCGTCGTTCTCGAGGCCCTCCGCGGCGAACGGGATGATGACCTCGTGGAGCACCCAGGAGCAGGGCTTCTGGGCCAGGGCATTCCGCCCGTGCAGCAGCTGGGTGACGTGCTCCGGGGGGTCCACCACCTTCCACCCCCTGTCGGCGCACACCCGGAGCAGGCGCTGGCGACAGGCCTGCAGGGCCGTCGTGTGCGTCTGGAAGAAGAGCGCGTCCACGGGCCTCACGAGCTCGCCCGTGGGCGTCGGCAGCACGCGCATCTCCTTGATGCTGCGCACCAGCGGGTCCAGGATCGCCCGGAACTCCCGCTCGACGTCCTGCTCCCGGGGCCACAGGGAGTGGCCGTGGTCGGCGGCGACGCCGGCGGTGCTGGCGAGGAGCTCCAGAGCCTGCGCGTAGAGCAGCGGCACCATGCCCGTGAGGAGCCTCTCGTTCCACTGGGCCCACATGCGGTGCTCCCCGTCCAGGTCCGGCGACAGACGCCAAATGTTGCGTCGGTTGTCGTGCAGGCGGAAGTAGGCGTTGACATGCACAGGGAGTTTCGTGGTGAGCGGCAGCGGCAGGGACGCGAAGAGACAGCCGTCGGCCGCCTGCCCGAGGGGCAGCGCCAGCGCCACCATGGGCACGCAGTTGCACTGCATCGCCACGCTGAGCTCCTCAGCGTCCTTGGAAAAGGAGCCGTACCGCAGCCAGTGTAGGGTCGCAGTCGTGCCGGATGACCCGCCGGATGACAGGACCTCGGTCTCCATGGTGATGATGTCGTGGATCTCTGGCGGCGTCGCGCCCGACTCGCGCAGCAAGGCACCCAGCTCCGCGAAGGATGAGCATCGCTGCAGGAACGCCTTCACCTGCGCAGGCCCAGAGATTGCCCGCGGGAGCTTGTGACCTGACGAGACGCCGAGGCGAGTCCGTGCGACCACCGCGGGCTCGGGCGAGCCATCGTCCCAACGCCACAGCTCAATGCACTTGACGCTGGTAAGAAAGAGGAGCACCTCTCCGTTCCGCATGGTCTCCTCGAACTCCTTGAAGATGCGCATCGCCCTGCTGAGCTCGAAAGCCTGCGGCATGAAGGTGCACTTGCTCGCCCTTTCGACCGTCCGCAGGGACGCCCGGATGATGCTACCATGGAAACTGGACTTCAAATCGCAACCGAAAACCTTGTGAAAGGGTGCGCCCTCGTCCGGAAACGTCTCGAAGAGCTTCTCGTTCACGAAATTCACTTGCTCGCCAAAGCGACCACTTTCGAGGATGTCGTCTGGGTCAAGGGATGCGAGCAGGCTTCCAGACAGCACTTGCAGCACGTCTGTGATGTGGAAGAAAGACCTTGACCCCATTCCGAAGGCGCCGGCCTCGTGAGGAGACTGCCTCTTGACGCTGTCGCACATGAACTGCAGACTCCTGGGGAAACCCAGCGATACCAATACCGCTACTCCCAGGACCTCTCCTGGGGTACGATCTGACCAGAATGCCGAGACGAATCAAGCGGTGGCAACGAGGGCCTCCCAAGAGGCCCCAAAAAGGAAAGCGAGGGGATGAGGAGGAGGAGGAGGAGGAGGAGGAGGAGGAGAAGGAGGAGGAGGAGGAGAGGGGGAGGAGGAGGAGGAGGAGGAGGAGGAGGAGGAGGAGGAGGAGGAGGAGATTTACCGCTCCGGTTCGGTCTGTATGGCTACCTTTCCCTTCTCCGAGCTCCGCCAATCTCGTTGCTTGAAGCCCGCATCATCGTAAAAGACGATGCTCTCGCCCTGCAGCAGAGAGCGCGCAGCGCTCGGAGGTCGAAGAGACTTCGACGGGTGCCTCCGCAGATCCAGAAGGGCGCAGAATTTCCCCGCCCTGCCAGTATCGTCCGCGTTCTGAAGCGCCTCCAGGAAAAACTGGCCGCCAGAGGGGTACTGCTGCAGGAGATTCCGAAGCACAACGCCGGGCGAGATCTTCAGCCCGAAGCCAGGGTCGGCGATGGCATCTGCCATTGATCTCCAGTCAATGGGCTCAGATGCGACGTCTCATGCAACAGTTCGGCGCAACATGGCCCGATGCCCCACTCGCAAGAGAGCACTGCACCTGCCCCACCACTGGCAGCCTACTGAGCCAAAGGGCTATGGACGCAAACGCGCACACGAGCACCCAACACACGCATTTGCTTTAAGAAACAGCGGCGGCAAGATTCGCCGGCCCAACGGGCCAAACCCGTGCTAGAATCTCAGGTGCGAGGTTTACTAGTCTTCTTCTTCTTCTTCTTCGTTTTCTTCTTCTTCTTCTTCTTCTTCTTCTTCTTCTTCTTCGCGCGCGCGGGGCGGCCCCTGGGGCTTCCTGGATGAGAAGTTTCCCGGGCTATTCCCGCCACGGACGCCAGAACTCCCAGGGGGCGGTCTTCCTGCCTGTAAGATCGCCGCAGGAGCGCCCCAGAGGACCCCAGGGAAGCTCCAAGAGGGCCCAGGAGCCAGGAGGAATGGGTGGGAGGCCCTGGCATGGCCCGAAGACAACCCGAATGCTTCACGATAGCCCCAAGATGGTCCCAGGCAGCCCCAAGAGAGACCCCAGAGGCTGTGTCATGGATGCTCCCAAGATTTTCAACGAGTTTGACGTCACCGCCTTTCCGAACGTCCGATTGCCGCAGACGGCCCGCGAGGTGTCAGAATCGACCCGGGAGGCTCCCAGGACGGCCCGAGAACAGGGGCTCGGGAGCTCCCCAGGGGCCCCGAGAGGGGGAATCCGAACTCACACGTCGGGCCCTTTCCCCAAACGATGGCCTCCAGGACTGCCAGAACAACCCCAAGAGGCTTTCAGAGGCCCAAGAGGCTTCAGAAGAAGGCCCCCAAGATTCCCCAAAGAGGCCCCAAGAGGCTCTAAAAAATGCCCCGGCGAGCAGGCAGGCAAGTGCCAACGATTCTACAATATTGGCAAGCTGACTGGGCGAAGCGGTTGCATAACATCTACAGAGGACGTGCTTCTAGGGACGCTCGGCCCCTCATGGGATGGGGTTGAGGGGGTGAGGAAACGCGGCAAGCCAGAGGCCAATAACTACCTGCAGCAACTAATATGTCCTTCCTCTGGCCCTACCATGACATGCACCTGTCTCCCCACTCGACGTCCAGGTCACGTTGTGATTCGGTCCCGCGCGGGAGCCCAAGGTGACGAAGTGCTTCTACCAAGAAAGAAATCAAACACCTACTCGAATAAGATCACTGCTGGTGAAAAATTGCGAGCCCGTGCCACGCTAGCGCCACTCTAGGCTAGTAGTACTAGGTGCTGAGGCGGGCGCACCTGTCCAGGCTGGGAACGAGGCCGCCGCTAAGGCTAGGGCTGCACTCCGAGCTAGGAGCAACGTCTTCCCAACACATCCTCGCCACCTCATTGGGGGGAGACTGGGCCAAGGAGCCTGGTCCTCTCACAGTGATCCGCAGTGTGTGGCCCATATCTTTCCCCTCGTGCAGACTGCAAGATCCCTGCCACTCCTAAACCAAGACGGCAGTGGCGAGCAGGGAAAAACAGAAGACCCAACCATCCGCCAAGATGCTTTTTCAATGCGGGGTCCCAGAAACCCCGACCGCCTTCCCTGGAATAGTCCTCCGTCCTGGATCCATATTTTAAGGTCCCAGGGCCCGATGATAACGCCCTGAGGTCCGAAATGAAAAGCAAACGCCTGGATTGAAACATGATCGACCCACGGAACCTCAAAGGCTATTAAAATCGCGGGGCATGGCAACGTTTTAACACACCTGATTGGGCGACAGGCAATTGCAGTGCTGGAAGTATCGATCGTGATATGCCGTGCCAAGGATTGTGCTGTGCAGCGCCGTGCTGAAATGAGATGCGTCATGCCACGATGAATTGCGTTGTGCTGTACACTGTTGTGGATCAAGTCGCCCTTGGCATCCGAATCCTGACCGAACTGGTCTGGATCCTAAGCTCGAGCTGCCTGAGCGCATAGCAGCTATGCGCTCGGGGTCAGCTATGCAATAGCTGGCCCAGAGCTGGTTGCAGTCGAAACGTGTGGGACGCTCAATCAGCTCGAGCTCGAGATCCGACTCAGCTCCGAAGCGGGACGAGACAACACGGGACGCAGGGCGCATGGACGCGCCACGGAATGTGCCAGGGGCGCCCGAAAGGATGCGCCAGGGGATGTGCCAGAGGACGGGGCACGGGACGCGCCAAGGAACGGACAGGAACAGCGCCAGGGGAGAAGCCAGGGAACGCGACAGAAGACGTGCCAAGGGACGCGCCGAAGGGGGAGGACATACGCCGTCCCGCTCTGGGGCGTCAGGAACCTACGTGTTTTCACGCATGTCCCGCTCTGGGGCGTTAGGAACCCATGCGCTTTCACGCTTGTCCCTTTGTGGGGCGTTCAGAACCGACGTGGTTTCACGCTTTTTTACCGCTCTGTGGCGCCAAGAACTCATATATTTTTCACGCTTGTCCCGCTCTGGGGCACTGGGAACCCATGTGTTTTCAAGCTTCACCCGCCCTAGGGCGTTAGGAGACCACGTGTTCCCACGTATCCAGACCACCCAGGGGGGGACACTTTAACACGCGGCCGTCTGGGCCTCCCACAGCGGGGGCGGACACACCAGCAAGAACAAATCTCAATGAATCGATACCGGAAGTGTAATCACTGGAATCGTTCTGATGGGGGACTCCAGGGGCCTCCAAGGGCCCCAATAAACTGATTTGTTGCGCTTGTCCCGCTCTGGGGCGTTACAAAAACCAACCTGTTGTCACGCTTGTCCCGCTCTGGGGCGTTCAGAACCAGCGTGTTTTCACGCTTGTCCCGCTTTGGGGCGTTAAGAACTCACGCGTCTTCACGCTCATCCCGCTCTGGGGCGTTAGGAACCCATATGTTTTCACGCTTGTCTCTTTCTGGGGCGTTCAGAACCGACGTGGTTTCACGCTTTTCCCGCTCTGGAGCGCTCGGAACCTACGTTTTTCATGCTTGTCCCGCCCTCGGGCGTTGAGGAACCCGTGGGTTTTCATGCTTGTCCCGCCTGGCGCATATAAAACCAAGGCGTTTTTACGTTTGTCCCGTTCTGGGACATCAAGGACCCACGTCCTTTGACGCTTTTCTCGCTCTGGGGCGTTAGGAACCCACGTGTTTTAACGCTTGTCCCGCTCGGGGGCGTCCAGGGGCCTACATGTTTTCACACTTGTCCCGCTCTGGAGCGTGTGAAACCAACGCGTTTTCAATTTTGTCCCGTTCTTGTACGCTCGGGACCCACGTGCTTCACACTTGTCCTGCTCTAGCGCGTTAGGGACTCGCGTGCTTTCACGCTTGTCCCACTCTGGGGCGCTAGGAACCTGTGTGTTTTCACGCATGTCTCGAACTAGGGCATTAGGAACCCACGTGCTATCATGCTTGTCCCGCTCTGGGGCGTAAAGAACCAATGTGTTTCCACGCTTGCCCCGCTCTGGGGCGTAAGGAACCCGCGTGGTTTCACGTTTGTCCCGCTCCGGGGCGCCAGGAACCCATATGTTTTCACTCGCTGCGCATTCGCAAAACAACCTGGGCATCCTGGGGCGCCGAAGGCCCTCAAGTTTTGCAAAACAAGCGTTTCGCTCGAGACATCCTCGACATTCTTCGCGCAGGACGTGCCACCCTCGAGCGGGCACGCTAAAACACTGGTGCATTTTCCTGCAAATTTGTAATGACTCCAGACTTCGTTTTCGATGTAAGATTCTGCACAAAACGCTTCGCACCCTCTTTTCACAAGGGAAAACGGGGGTCTGCGGACTGTTATTTATTGAAGATACAAATTGGGAGGCAACTTTTTTCGAGCTGGCACGCGCAAACCGCTTTTCTTCAAAACAAACACTTCACCTCGTTTATCATCGAGCGGACAGGCTTATCACCTAAAAGAGAGCCCTGGGCCGACGCCATTTCCTTGAAAATCGCACAGTCGGAAATTAGGGGAGATGGGTACGCATCGGAGATGTGGGGAGATGAGTGCGCAACAATAGGGGCCTCCTGGATGGGGTCCGAGTAAATGGGGTCGAAGGATCGCGCCGCATCGGCAACGTCGTCGATGTATCGGCGACGTCGGCATGGAGAAACACGGGCTCCACATCGAGTCGCATCGTCGATACACCAGCGATGCGGCGCGATCGTCCGACCCCATCTGCTCGGACCCCATCTGGGAGGCCCAGAAACAGCCGCCACCCTCCCACCCCCATCGGAGACGTGGGGAGATGGGTAAGTTCGCAACAACCACCAGAAGACGCAGACAGGACGAGAATAAATTCGGTTGAGGATACATCGGGAATCTCTGAGATCCAGCGGCTCTGGAGAATGCCTCGGGCGCAGCGGCCCTCTCAAAGCGTTCCACAACGCTCTGAGAGCGTTCCGGGACGCTCCGGACCGGATTTATCCTCGTCCCAGCCCCGCCCGTCACCCCTCCTATCCGTAAGTCGGGGTTGTCCCTCTACAGGGGGATTGTGGACGAAAAATTACAATAGTCAAATCATACCCTAAATATCCAAAAATGGAGAAAAAATCATCCCGAGATCATTTTTTGGCTACTTTTGAATATTCCTCCTGTAGAGGGACAGGCCCGACTCAATCCGATCCCCCGCCCCCGCGCGGGCGCAGCCCCGCGCACCCGCCGCGCGCGCTCTCTGCGCCGCACCCGGTCGGTCTGGCCGCGCCGCGCGCGCGCGCGCGCCGCGCACGCCCTCCGAGGGGCGCGGTGTGCCGCGCGAGGCCCGCCGAGGCCCGTGGCTCTTCGGCCCGCGCGGGCCACGGCGGGCCCGGCGCCCGGCGCAGCGGCGCAGGCGGGGAGGCTCACAGCACGAGCTGCAGCCCAATCTGGGAGAGTGTTTTTCGGCTGCGCGCAAGAGTTTTGTTTTGTTTGCCGGCGACGCAGCGAATGCTGTATACAGTTTCGACTCCACCCCTGGGCGCCGTCGGAACACCGAGCTGAACGCTCGAAGACGGCCGCCCAGAACTGGACGGAGAAAAGGCGAGAAAAACAAAGGAGACGACAGCTCGCCGGGCACAAACCGGGAACGCAAGAGTGACCCCGGGTATAAGAGTGGCCCTTGGTGCGCGGCTCCTCGGGGGCCGCGGGGGGGGGGCCAAAGACGAGCGCGCCAGGCGCTAATACCACGTCGCGTTCGGCGATCGAATGGGGGCCCCCTGGGGCCCGCACCAAAAGGTCCCTCCGGCGAGAGGTCACTCTTACGTGCAGTCGAGTCTGGAAGGGCCGCGGGAGGTCGACGGGCGGGAGTGCCCCACCGCAGGCCACGACGTGCGGCTTGTTTTGAGAAGCGCCCGGCCACGGCGCCAAGTGGCCTCCAGCAGCGCGAAAGACACTCGAGGTAGGCGCCGTGGCCAGGGGCTGCACCCACGCGGGAGGCTGCAAGACTGGCGCCCTGTGCTGCCAGACTCCGCGGAGAAAGCAGGGCGAGGGGCGACGGAGGGGCTCTGGCGCATGTGCACCAGAAGCAGCATGATGACCGCGAAGCCCAGCGGCTAGCAGAACCACCAGGCAAAGCAAAGGACATGTGCGCCCAACTCCCGCGACAACTCGAATGGGAAAACGGTGCGGATAATCGAGGGACGCGTGCTGCGTGCGATCTGGATACGGGCAGGTGGCGTAACTCTTCGAAGGGGGGGGTCAAGATTCGCCTGCGGCATTCAACGTTGAACGCCAGCGGCGGGGTCGCCGCCAGTCGACACGACGCGAAGCTACCGTACCCGCTTCCCTGTCCACGGGGGCACTTGTTGGCGGCGCTCACAAGGGGGGTCGGGGGAGGGGGGAAGGCTTCTTAGGAGCACCCCTGCTTCTTCGAAGGCGCGGGCCTTTCTCTACAGATGTAGGGCTCGCGCCTTCTAAGAAGCAGGGGTGCTTCTAAAAACCTTCTCCCCCCATCCCCCGACCCCCCTCTGGGGAAACCGAAAGGTACCGATACTGCTACTCCCAGGACCTCTCCCGGGGTGCGTCCTGACCAGAATTTCGAGGCAAATCCAGCGGTGGCGACGAGGGCCTCCCAGGAGGCCCAAAAGGGGGAAAACGTGGAAAGGGTAGCGGTGTGGGTGCCTTTTCCTCCTCCGACCTCCCCCCCTCTGCGCGTGGCCGAACTGGATGACACGCGTGTCTTGCCCCTGGGGGCACTGGGTCCGAGGCTGCTGGCGGCATCGCTGCTGCCGCCGCACATGGTCCTCGTGCCGCCGACCCGCCACGCCGGGGCGCCCACGGCACACGGGTGGGAGGACGGCCTGCCCTCTTCCTCCTGCTCCTTCCCCTTCGTCCTCCTCCTCCTCCTCCACCTCCTGCTCCTCCTCCTCCTCCACAATTACTCAATATGAATATACTCTCCCTCTTCCCCTGATGGCGTCCGGGTGATGGCCGCGCACCCTCCGCGTACTGCTTTTTTACACACAGGATGCCCGGGAAATCCCGGGAAACGACTCTCGCTGAGGCGCCGGCGCCATTTTTTCCCAAAATGCGGCTCTCGTTGAGGCGCCGGCCTCACTTCTGCTCCCGAATCGTTCCGAATCGTGCTCCCGCTGCAGCGTGGGCCTCATTTTCGGATCGGTGATTGGCCTCCGTCGCTCAGGATGGCGTTCTCGCCCCAGCGCGGGCCTTTTTCTCGCGCGCCCATCCGCCCGCCACCACCGCGCCGCACCGACACCACCACCACCACCACCACCACCACCACCACCATCACCAACACCACCACCACCACCACCACCACCACAACCACCACCAGCACCAGCACCAGTACCAACACCACCACCACCAGCACCACCACCACCACCAGTACCACCACCACCACCACCACCACCACCACCACCACCACCACCACAACCACCACCAGCACCAGCACCAGTACCAACACCACCACCACCAGCACCAACACCACCACCAGCACCACCACCACCATCACCACCACTCCACCACCACCACCACCACCACCACCACCACCTACCACCACCCACCACCACCACCACCACCACCACCACCACCACCACCACACAACCACGCACACACGCACGCACGCACGCACGTGCACCACCACCCACTACGCACGCGCGCGCGGAGCCACAGGTCCGCTACGACACGCGTCCGCGGATAGAGAAAATCAGCGCCATGGTAAGGGATGGGAGGGAGGGGTAGGACGTCAGATATGACGCGAGCGCACCTAGCTTGTCCTCCTCCCCCTCCTCCTCCTCCTCCTCCGCCTCCCCCTCCTCCTCCTCCTCCTCCTCCGCCTCCTCCTCCTGCTCCTCCTCCGCCTCCTCCTCCTCCTCCGCCTCCTCCACTGCCTCCTTCTCCTCCTCCTCCTCCTCCTCGTCCTGGTCCTCCTCCTCCTGTTCTTCCTCCTCCTCCTCCTCCTCCTCCTCCTCCTCTTCCTCCTCCTCCTTCTCCCTCCTCCTCCTTCTCCTCCTCCTCCTCCTCCTCCTCCTCCTCCGTCCTCCTCCTCCTCCTCCTCCTCCTCCGCCTCCTCCTCCTCCTCCTCCTCCTCATCCTCCTCGTGAGCCCAGGCCGTGTCGTCCGCTCGCCATTCCTTCTTCCTCTCCTCCTCGCCCTCGCCTCTCCTTTTACCCCTCCTCCGTATGCGTGTCCGTGGGTGCCGAGGCGTGCTCGATACAGAGCACAAGATTGGCGCGATGGCGGGCCGATGCCGAGCCACCCAGTCCGTGGCTCGTCGTCAGCTCTCATGCTGACGGCGCCGTGCCTCATCGTCTAGGTTTCCCGGCAACAGCTACCAACCTCTGACAGCCTGCTGAGCGCGCGCCACCAAAAGGCGAGACTGCATGTCTTGCCAATGGGAACCTCGTGGGCTCATGTAGCAGAATGCATGCCACTGCGCGTCCTTCCCCCTACCAATTCGACTGGGCCAGTTTCGGCAGACGGGCTGGGGGTTCGCTAGCGTCGATGTGCTACCCATGTCCCTGAGCTGGTTCTGAAAGGCCCCGTGCAGAACGTGGATGCCGGACACACGCTCACACGGACTGGGAATCCTTGGCTCTGGCTCGTGGACGCCAGACCCACGCATCGGGCAAGGCACCCTCCGAGACACGCGGCTGGTGCCGCCCGACCTGGCCAGGGAGCGCGCCGATTCTGCACCTGAACGGTGTGTTTCGTTTTCGTTTTGCTTTCGTTTTCCCTCGTTGTGTCTTCAATCCACCTCTACCGCAAAACGAAGTCGAAACGACAACGGCCCACGAAATCGCCAAAACACCGTTTAGGTCCAGCCCCGTCTTCAAATGCAGAACATAGATGGCTTAATAGCTCTTGCAAGGCCGGTCCCAAGGGCCAGACTGTGGGAGATGGGGCTCGTGAGAGAAACAGCTGAAAGGACTTCCCGAGCGGAGGCCCATCGGCTGGATCGGAACCATTTTGAAGCTGCCCTCATCCGATGGGGTAGGATTGCGAAGATACGTCGAGCAGGAACCCCTCTGTAGAAGTAGACTTGTGCAGACATCTCAGGCGGGACCCCATCCGAGGAGTACAAGTCCGAAGCGAAGAGTTATCCCAACCCACCGCCAAGGGATCGACATTCAGGGACCTCGGCAGGCGGTGAATATAGATATGTTCGGGCCCTCCGGAGCCGAAAAACTATCCATGTTCTGAATTACAGGAGCTGCATCGGAAGCGCCGCGAACCATGTGACGCACAAGAAACTCCCATACTGCCTGAATGAATTTCCCGAGAGTGCTGGAAACGCATGCAAGAATACTGCGCTTCTCGTGCTGCGTCGCATTTGCGAGTTACTGAAGGCATCAGAAATTCACCTCGCGTGCACATGTTCCTTCGCAGCAAAGCATGCGTTGCCCATTAGATTGTAATGTGTTAAGGCCTCGCTCGAGTGGATCTTTTCCACGGACTGCGGTGCTGCCAGGGACGAATGGGCAAAGGCGCATTACAACAGAGGCCCGTACATTATCCCACCGTTTTGCATGAAAGATGTGCGGCACGTGTTCAAGCATATGAAGCGCGGTAAGTGCATAGAAACTCGCAACATCACCCTTGAAATGTTTGCGAGGCGGCGACGCTCTGCACAGACACCAGTTGTCGTGTTTGAGCTCGCTGCTCAGCACCCAGTGCCTCGATCCCACGTGGCAGCAAAACTGCTTTACCATGTTGCGGGAGACAGGCAGAAATGATGTTAAGAACTGGTGCCTCAAAGCGATTTTACGCATCACATCTAAAATCGTCGCTCGCCTTCCTTTTGCACAATTGCAACCCGTTCTAGAGAAAGAGCAAACGTATGACCCGGTCAGACTTCGCCTAGGTCGCTCCGCGGACGATGCTTCTGTCGTTTTGGAGGAACTCGGCAGGAGAGCTTGGGAATGGGAGCTCCCGCTGTGGATTGCCAGCGTTGACCTGATCAAAACTTTCGACATATTGGAGCATCCAATAATTTTCCATGCGTTGTCTAAGCAGGGAACTGATGTAGAATATGTGCGGCTCTTGTCAAGCATTTAAGGCGTCAGTCTGCGTAGCAACATGCGCTACGCTGATGACATTCTGCTATATGAGCGTTCTGCTGCCGATGCCACTCGTGAGCTGGACATTTTGCTTGAAGAGCTGGCAGCCGGCGGCCCCGCATTTTCACGAACGACGCTGCAATCTCCAACATCCAAGGGCCTCTCGTTTTCCAGCTTGCCGACTGCCGGTTGCCTGCCATGACGTCCCAAGTGCTCCACATGTGCCTCGGCAAGAAATTCAAAGGCGATTTCCGCAACAAATCAGCGCGCAATGTAAATTACCGCGCGGAGTGCGCATGGGAGAAATTCCACTCCCACCACAGCGCTTCTGAATAAGTTTACCCAGGGGGGTACCCAATCCTCGTCTAAGCCAACGGCGAATACATTGACGCATTGACATATTAATATGTTTATATATAAATATATATGTATAGGACCGCTGACTGCAAACAAACATGTTGAAGGACCCGCAGTACGCATGAGCTCTCAGAAATACGCAAGAGAGTAGGCAATAATGAACAAATATCGAGACGGAAGCATACAGAGGGGTGCGAAGGAGGGATCGACGTGTTCAATATCAGCAGCAGCGCCGAGCGATACATGTGCGGGAAAAACAGCGCCATGCCCTCGCTCTATAGCAAAACAGCGCGTCGCGCTGAGCGAGGCAAGCGTGCGGGTTGGCATGGCGGGCCAGATGCAGCTGTGAATGGGAGGCCACGCGGACAAAAACCAGCGGCGTGCGCTGCGTGGCGCAGTGGCTCCCTGCGAGCTGCGATGCGACAGCGCCGAACGCTGCGTGACGAGACAGCGCCGCGAGGTCCCGACTGGGCCTTGGCGTGCCACTCCACTCCGCGCGAGCTCCCAGGAGCCCACCGAAGGTGGCGACAATTGCGCCCTTCGCAGCCCCCCAAAGAGAGCCGCGAGGTCCCAGCCGAATCTGCGCACCACTCCACCCCGCGGGACCTCCCAGGAGCCCACGAGCGTGGCGACAATTGCGCACGTCGCAGCCACGCAAAGAACCGCGAGCTGCCAACTGGGTCTGCGCACCACTCCACTCCGCGCGAACTCCCAAGAGCCAACGAACATGGTGACAATTGCGCACTTCGCAACCCTCCCAAGGAACCGCGAGGTCCCAACTGGGTCTTCGAACCACTTCACTCCCCTGGAACAGCCACACGAGGCCACGAGATGGGCGACAATTGCGCCCTTCGCAGCCTCCTCCAGGGAACCGCGAGGTCCCAACTGGGTCTGCGCACCACTCCACTCCGCTGGGAGGCCCACGAAATTCGCAGCCACGCAGGGAGCCGCGAGGTCCCAACTCGATCTGCGTACCACTCCCGTCTGCTGGACCTCCCATGAGCCCACGAAAGCGGCGACGGTTGCGCACTTCGCAGCCACGCAGGGGGCCCGCGAGGTCTCGACGTGGTGTGCGTGACTACCGACTCCGCTGGACCTCCGAGGAGCCCACGAAAGTGGCGACAGGGAGAGCACCGCACGGAAGTGGCCAGAGATAAGGAAGGAGGAAGAGAAGGAAGAGAACACAGGATGCAGGAAGTAGGAGACAGCAAGCAGAGGGGGGGGGGCAAGGAGGAATGGAGACCACGGTGCTCTATTCAAAGCGAGAACCAAACACAGGAGGGTTGGGAACTATTTCTTTGCGCCTTCGTTGGAAGACATTTGAGGCGGTTGTTACGCCTGCTGCTGCCTACAGTCTAACTATCGACCACGGCCACGAAAGCACAGCAAAGTCCTCTAATGGCATCAACGCGCTCATGTATGCTCCGCCGGATCGGTGGTTTTAGCGAGCTTCCCAGAGAAAATTGGGAAGAAGCGGGGCGACGGTGCAAGCAAGACGTGCACGTTGCTGTGGACATTGTCCCGTGACAGACTGGCTCGTTGTCCTCGACCGCTGCACTTGGCGCCTCGTGGCACGAGTTCTCGCAGGGGACTCGCCAGAGTGGCCTTCGCAGGTTTTGCACCGGATCCTGGCCAGAACTCGACGCCGAGGTCGACCGCGGCGCAGAGGGACCGATGCAATCGATTGCGTTTTGCGGCCAGGGCACAGCACGAATCTAACGAATGTGATCCGCAGCCAGAAGCGTTTCCCTTGGCAGCGGTTGGAACATTAATCTCCTAATTTCTATGCGGGATACCGAGTTTGCGATATACATGTGTTCAAATGTTGCCCTATCCGCCGCTTCTATCTTGCATGCACAGTGTGTTGCCGTAGTGTCTCACGCCTTGCGTCTCCGCTGGCGGAGCGAGGTGCCTCCACAGGCTGATCGACCGGACTTGACTTGACTTGACTTGACTTGACTTGACTTGACTTGACTTGACTTGACTTGACTTGACTTGACTTGACTTGACTTGACTACTTGACTTGACTTGACTTGGCTTGACTTGACTTGACTTGACTTGACCACCGCTGACTGGGGTCCCATGACGTCGGCTCCCCAGAGGATATGGGTATACCCCCGACTCGGAAGAATGCCCCCGGGGGCCTGGAAGCCCCCCGGGAGTCTCACGGGGGGGGGCGGTCGCTCACAAAGGTCGGCGAACGTGACGTGCAGCCAAAGAGGGTCAAAGACGGCGGACCGTGGATAGCACCAATCGCATGTTTCGGCATTGCCTTAACCCCCTCGCGCAACAAGCTCCAAATCGGACATGATACCCTGGCCGCGGACGGAGCGTTCTGAGTCCATCCCCGGCAAGCCGCCGAGAAACGAATGCCACGGCCAGACAACATGACGCGCGTCTTGCTAGTGGAGCCTAGAGCCAGGGGGGGGGGGGGCATTCTTCAGTGCGCCCCTGGACTGGTTGAGTCGGACTTGGGGCACTTGAGAGACAACGGCCGCTCGCCCGCCCAGCCAAGGTCCGCTCCAAGTCCGTGCCCAGACCCACCCCGGGGTCCATCCCGACCCGTTTTCCGATGCAGATCCGGCCGTGGAGACGAGGAGTACCCAAGAGGCCCAAATAGGAGGACGGGAATAGTCTCATGATAAGGTTGGCTCAGATTTCCAGAGTGTCTAGCGGCCCTTGTTTCTGCAGCCATGTGGAACATTAGGGAATGTAGGAAATCATGGAAGTCCTGGGAATCTGGGAACGAATCATGATCGTGTCCAGACAGAGGGCACAAACAAAAGCGAGGGACGCCGACGTTGTGCTTCGACGGGCCTTGCTCCGATGGAGATGAGAGATGAGGGGACCGGAAGCCAGACTGGCGACGGGCGACGGAGAACGCGGCGGTGGCGACGACGATGCGGCTGCACGCGCGAGAGCCGCTGCCAGGAGGCCGTCCTCGGCGGAGGACGACCCCGCGTAGATCTTCAGCGGGCTCCCCTCGCTGGCGGCGGGCCCAGCAGTAATGCCTGGGAGGCTCGCGCAAGACCCAGACTCTGCAAACTCCAGCATGCATCAGGCAGCCGTGGACCTGACGCGTGGCCGGGACCCCTCTGGAGCCCAGAATGGCCCCGACTTCAAGAGGCCTCCCAGAAGGGGTCCGAGTAGATGGGGTCGGAGGATCGCGCCACATCGCTGAGGCATCGCCCATGCATCGCCAATGCATTGGCGATGCATCGACGACGTCGGCGATGCATAGGCGACGACGGCGTGGAGAACATTGGGCTCCACCACTTTAAGCCGCATCAGCGATGCATCGGCGATGCCCCGCGATCCTCCGACCCCATCTCGCTGGGAGACCCAGAGTTCTTCGGCGCCCCGGCTGTACGTATGTCCGTGCCTGCGCTCCCCTGGCAGAAAACGCCCCCGAAGAGGGCTCCGGCAGGAGGGGCGGGCGCCAGGGACAGTAGATAGACGATCTATTCGAACCCTTCCACATTCGAGGGGGATTCCAAATCACCCCCGCGCCCCCGACATCAATGCTGATATCAGCAAAGGCGGTGCCTTGGGGGCTCGAAGAGTTCTGTCCACTCAGCCCCCCCCCCTTCATCACGCCATCAAACATAATTTCGGGGGGTCTGGGGGGGATGTTGGGCCATGTAGGAAATCGAACTCTGTACACCGACGCTTCTTCCAGCCCTGCAGTGGAATTTGCACTGGAGAGCGGATCCTGGTGTATACGGGACCCTGGTGTATACATGTTTCGTTGCTTCCCCGGGACATCGGGGAAAAAAGTGTACACCACACCACCCCAGCGTCGCCCTCGACCCTGAAGAAGTCCTGGGATTGAAAAACGGCCCGCCACTGGTACTGTACATGTTCAAATTTCCGACCATGTGGGGTTCGAGCAGAATGTCAGCGTGCGGGAGCGGCGCGAGGAGCCGTGGCGGACGCGGCGTGGCGCGCGCTCCGCGGCCGGCCGCAGCGTCGGGCAGCCCGCGCCCGCCCACGTGCTGCCTCCGAGCCCCCAACTCGGCGCGGCCGCGGGCGGCAACCGCGGGCCATCGCTCGGACGTCCATGTCCCGTGCATTGTTCGGTGTCGCGCGTGTTTGTTCTGCTCGATGGTCCAGGGTGGTCCTCGATGGCTCTCGCCGGGAAGAAAATGCACACGTCCGAGCGATGCCAGGACCACGGGCGGAGGGATGGGGGGGGGGCGGCGCTGCGGGATCGGGCGTCGCGCACCCGCCGCGCGGAAGAAGCAGGTGGAGACGGGAACGAGGAAGGCGGATACGGTAGGAGCTCGACCACAGGAGACCTCCCACGAGAGACCAGACCCTGAGGCCCCAGGACGTCCATGGATCCTTGTTGGGGGGCCGTCACGCTTTCCATAGTAGCAAGGCCATCGACACCCAGGAAAGCCAGGGCACCCTGGAGGCAAGCAGGGTGTTTCTTGGCATGGGTTTCTACTGTAAGGTAGATTGGGTTCGGGCACGCCCTGGAAACTACAAAAAAGTTGAATTACCATACGACATACCCAACCCATCGGCACCAAGGGATGATATAAGGTGTGCCGGAAATAATGTGACAACACAGCTGCAAGAGACGGTGCACGTCGGATATCTATGTCGGGCGAATTGAGCGTGGCCGACTTGCAGAACATGCATACAAAAAGCCTGGAGGTATTGCACTGGGAAGGAGATGCACAAGAAAAACATCGGGGTGGAAGAACAATATCCTCGGCAGCAGCAGCGAGGTAATGGCGAGGTCTTTCAGGGATCTGCATGGGTCCCACTGTGCTGCCCCGTCATTTGCAGCCCCCCATGGATGGCGAGGTCTCGTTTGGGTCTGCGTGGGACCCCACTGTATTGGCTCCCCCAGCAGCCCTCGAAAGTGGCGACGGTTTCACACTTCTTCGCAGCCCCCCTGGGATGCGAGGTCACGTTTGGGCCTGCGTGGGACCCCACTGTGCCGGCTCCGCCAGCAGCCTTCGAACGTGGCGACGATTTCACACATTCGCAGCCACCCCCCAGGGATGGCGAGGTCCCGTTTGGGTCTGCGTGGGACCCAACTGTGCTGGCTCCCCCAGCAGCGCTCAGAAGTGGCAACAGTTTCACACATTCGCAGCCCCCCAAAGATGGCGAGGTCCCGTTTGGGTCTGCGTGGGACCCCACTGTATTGGCTCCCCCAGCAGCCCTCGAAAGTGGCGACGGTTTCACACTTCTTCGCAGCCCCCCTGGGATGGCGAGGTCCCGTTTGGGTCTGCGTGGGACCCCACTGTGCTGGCTCCCCCAGCAGCCCTCGAAAATGGCAACAATTTCACACAGCCCCCCAGGGATGGCGAGGGCCCGTTTGGGTCTGCGTGGGACCCCGCTGCGCTGGCTCCCCCAGCAGGCAGGCGAGAGGGGGGCACAGCCGGCATCCTCAGCAGGCAGGTGCAGACGTGGGCAGAAAAGAGGGGGACAGAGGGCGGAAGGATGAGAACGGAGGACTGGAGACCCCACTGCTCTATTCAACACGAGAGTCCAACCAACGGAGGGTTGGGAAACAATGCGGGTGGGTCGCGGGTGGGTCGCGGGCCGTTCGCGGGTGGGACGAGGACACCAAACAACGAACAACGCAACAACAACAACAACAACAACAACAATCACTTTACCCGAACGCTCAGTGTTCTCACCAGTGCCAGGGTTTTCATGCGACGCCAGCCAATACCCCCACTTTGTGGGGGGGCAGTGCAAGCTCTACCAAATATCCACACGACTCTTCGCCACCACCCACACCCAGCTTCCCGCCCTATGACGTTCGGACACTTCACTTCGTGGCCTGCGGACGACCGTGGCTACTACACTGGCATAGTGTACACACCCACATAAGTTGTTAATCCTACGTTCGTACACCCACAGAAGTTGTTAAGCCTTGTTAACCCACAGGCGATACTTGGGGGCTTATTGGGTCCTCACGGCGGGCTCTTGGGGCCTCTTGAAGGCCTCCTGGGGCAACCTATGGCGCAACCAGTAGGGGGACGTTTTATTCTCGGCGGCCGAGGGCGCAACCTATGGCGCAACCAATAGGGGGACGTTTTATTCTCGGCGGCCGAGGGCGCAACCTATGGCGCAACCGCAAGGGATTGTGGCCCCTGGCAGGCGCGCGAACCCCGTTGCAAGAGCGTGCGAAAGTAGCTCGCGCGAGCTCATGTAACATAAATGTTGGAAAACCATTGGTTTTTTTAGGATTCGGACAGCGCGCGCGGGTAGAAATTTTGAAAAGTCGTGCAGGTGTTGTTCGAGGACCTACGGTGCGATTCGTGTGATTTTATGATGCGCGGTGCTAAAATTCTTAAGAAGCCCAATGGTTTTTGGAGATTTCGGCGTGCGCGCGCGAAGAAAAAACGAACAACAACAACAACAACAACAACACCAACAACACCAACAACGCCAACAACAACAACAATAACAACAACACCAACAACGGCAACACCAACACCACCAACAACAACAACAATAACAACAACACCAACAACGGCAACACCAACACCAACAACAACAACAACAACACCAACAACAACAACATCAGCAACACCAGCAGCAGCAACATCAACAACAACAGCAACACCAACAACCGCAGCATCAGCAACAACACCAACAACAACGACAACAACAGCCTCAACAACAACAACCATATTAAGACTGCTCGCTCATACCTGCTCGCGTGCCATCCAACACGCGTATCCCACACCCTCGGTACCCGCCCTCTTCGTCTTCGATAGTACCCCCTTGGGGGTATATATTTCTTACCTGCCACTTGAATTTAGTGCAGCCCCTTCACACAGGGGAAGAGAGCGGACGGAAGGAAAGGACAAGGGGGATGGAGGAGGATGAAGCACGAGGGAAATTAGCAGGAGGGGGGCTGGGAGCAGAAAACACGTGGCAAAACCAGACGAGCAGATCGAGCGGGTAGGCACTAACGGGAGGGTCGGGAAGGCGGGTCCAGACGACCAGGTCGAGCAGGCGGGTTGCTGAAGCGTGCGTCCTGCATGAATCGCGAGGAAGTCTCGGACGATAGCGCGATTCCAAGTAAATCGTTAGGAACTCCATAGCGAGAGCGTGATTCCCGAGTGTCGAGGGCGCAGCGTCTGAACAAATTGCGAGGAAATCCCACGCGAGAGCGCGATTCTGGCATAACTTGTGAGGAGGTCCCGCACGAGAGCGCAATGTTTCGATACATTGTGAAGAAGTACCCGGCGGGAGCCGAGCCCCAGGAAGGGCACCTCAATTGAGCAATAACAGAATGTGCACCAGGCGGGGGAGATCAACAATATTTCTTCAGACATGATAACTCAACAACAACACCAACAACACCAACAACCACCACCACAACAACAGCAACAACAACAGCAAAAGCACAAACTACAACAACATCACCAAAATCGACAACAACTACAACACTAACCCTTTGAAGACTGTTCGCTCTTATCGGCTCGCGTGCCATGCAACATATAGAACAACCTTCTTCGTCTTCGACCGTGCCCCCTTGGGGGAATATCTTTCTTACCTGAAGCGAATATTTCCTGCAGCCCCTAAGGCAGCGGAACAGAAGACGCATGGAAGGAAGGGACAAGGGAGAGGGAGGAGGATAGAGCAGGAGAGGGATTGGCAGGAGGGTGGCTAGGAACAGAAAACACGTGGCAGAACCAGACGAGCAGATCGAGCGAGTAGGCACTAACGGGAGGGTCGGGAAGGCGGGTCCAGACGACCAGGTCGAGCAGGCGGGTTGCTGAAGCGTGCGTCCTGCATGAATCGTGAGGAAGTCTCGAACGATAGCGCGATTCCCAAGTAAATCGCAAGAAATCCACAGCAAGAGCGTGATTCCCGAGTGTCGAGGGCGCGGCGCTGAATACATTGCGAAGAGGTCCCACGCGAGAACGCGATTCCTGCATAACTTGTGAGGAGATCCCGCGCGAGAGCGCGATTTTGGAATACATTGTGAAAAGGCATAAAGCGGGAGCCATTGTTGTTGTGACTCGGGGGCCAGGGGGCCAGTTTGACGCTCAAGACTTTCCCTGATTAAATAAACCCGATGCGAGCCCTGGGAAGGGCATTTCAATTGAGCAAACATAGAATGTGCACCGGGCAGGGGGATCAACAATATTTCTTCTTCAGAGATGAGAGCTCAACAACAACAGCAACGACGACAACAACAACAACAACAACAACAACACATACAACAATTACACCAACAACTACACCAATAACCACAACACCATCAACAACAACAACAATAAGTTGAAGACTGTTCGCTCCTATCTTCTCGCGTGCCATGCAACAGGTCAATCCCAAAACCTCTGAATCCGCCCTCTTCGTCTTCGATCGTGCCCCCTTGGGGGTGCATCTGCCTTACCCGCCACGCGCGTTTGGCGCAGCGAAGACAAGGGGAAGAGAGAGACGGAAGGAAGAAGGGGGGAGGAGGATGGGGCAGGAGGGGGATTAGCAGGAGGGGGGCCAGGAGCGGAAAACACGTGGCATAACCAGACGGGTAGGTTGGCCGAGTAGACCCTGACGGGCGGGTCGGGAAGGCGGGCCCGGGCAGCCAGGTCGAGCAGGCGGCTTGCTGAAGCGTGAATCCTGCATGGATCGCGAGGCTTCAAGCGGTAGCGCGGTTCCCAAGAGAAGGGCCTGAGCGAGAGCACGATTCCCGAGTGTCGAGGGCACGGCGTGGGAGTAAATTGCAGGGAAATCCCACGCGAGAGCGCTAGTCCTGCATACGCTGTGAAGAAGCCCCGCGCGAGAGCATGAGTTTGGAATAAACTGTGAGAAAGTGTCAGGCGGGAGCCGCTGTTGTTGCAAACTGGGGGGCCAGGAGCATTGTTTGGTGACACCCAGCTTCCCCTTGCAAAAAAAGGTACGAGCCCCGGGAGGCGCACTTTGGTTGAAGAACGCAATGGTCACCTTAAGGGGGGGGATCAACAATGGTGACGCTTCAGAAGTGGGAAATTCGCAATCCGCACCGCGAAACCCGACTCCAGCGACGCACCCAGGGACAGTGAATGACCGTTCGGTCCCCCCTACTCTGACTTTCAACGGCCGGCGTGGCCATGGAGGGAGTGGGGAGCGGGGGGCCGCAAGAGAGAGGCGCACCCCTCTCGTGCACCCTCGGGGCCCCTCTCCTGCACGGCCCTCGATGCCCCGATGCATCGCCCCCCCCAAGACGAAACTCCCGAGGGGTGGGGGGGGGGGGCAGCCGGGGGGGCGGGGAATGAGGAAGAAGAGTGTTGCTTCCGCCGCCGTCCGCCTGCCTTCCGCCGCCCTTCCGCCGAGGGAGAGATGACCACTCCTTCGATCCTCGAAGGCGAGGCCGTTGTTGGAACGCCTCGTAATAGTTAGGTTTGCCATCGTGTACCCCAAGCAGAGCGATGTTCCACCCTGGGCCGATCCTGTGGGATTTGGGGCGGGATGATAGAGACGAGGAACCGTCGCCGTCGGAGGAGGAGGAGAATGGGATCCTCTGGAATGCCCAGGGATTCCCCCAAGAGACGGAGATGGGAACCCACACGGGCGCCCCCCGGGACGTGGGAGGAGGAGGACAAAGGAGAACCCGCACATACCGTCAGAAATAGCGACTCCCTGCAACATCCACCCACCTTGGACTAAGAGGCGGGCGACGACGACAACGACAACGACGACGACGACGATGGTGACGGGGCTGGCGACAACGACTACGGCGATGATGGCGGCGACAGCGAAGAGGCGACGACGACAACGACGACAACTGCGACGACGGCGCGAGGACGGCAACGACCACTGCGACGACGACGACGAGGACGAGGACGAGGACGAGGACGACGACGACGACTGCGACGACGACGACGACGACAGCGAAATTACGACGACAAACTGACGCATAGGCCAGCGACGACGATGACGACGACGAAGACAACAACGACGACGACGACAGCGACGACGACGACAACGACGACGATCATTGCAAGGCTGTGTGCTTTTACTGGCACGCGTGTCTTGCAGTCTGTATACCCCCACCCTCGATACCCGCCCACTTCGTCTTCGATCGCATCCCTGTTCGGGGGGGAATCTTTGCCTTGTCGGCCACTGGCTGAAGTGCGAGGTACTCTCGAGCGAAAGCGCCGTTCCTGAGTTTGGGGGCCTCGCTGGCCAGGGGCTCTCGGAATACAGAACGAGAAATATCGAACGGGAGCGGTTGTCGCAGTGTCTGGGCCTCCACTAACTTGCTTGGATTACGAAAGCATCCGGAGCG